CTTGACGAGCTGAACACAATGAGACCATCCACGCGTCTGTATCTTGTTCCTGTACGGAGTTATTGGCCAAAAACCTTTGGTGACCTTTGATGACGTCACATGACCTCACAGCTGCCCAACAGCAAAACAGACCTCAAGGTAGTGAAGGTTGATCGTATATGAAGTCATGTATGGTATATGGGGCCATTCCGACCCGTTTTAGTGGTAAAAACAGGGAGTTGATTTTTCCCCCATTGACTTATAATGGGGAGGTCGCGAAATTGACCTGACCTTAGGTCACCGATATCAAAATTCCGAGATATACAAATTGTAGCTACTAATGACCTAATAACATCCTGCGACTTTCAAAGGCCTCCGACATCTACTGTAGCTCTGGCACGGTGACAAAGTTGCAAAAAAGTGACTTGAGGTTGGGTCATTCAAAGTGACCTGGTGACCTGACCTTGAAAGGTAGGAGGTTCAAACTTGCACACCATGTGTAAAATTGATAAGGGAATAGTCATACCAAATTTCGCGGCGCTACGCGCCGCGGTTTTCCCGCTATTCGCGAAAAACCTCAGGGGGGGGGGCGGATATCCGCCCCCCCCGTCGGTGCGCGGGTTAAATGATGAAACATTCAACGTATATCATCGATAAAAGCACAGCGTTGAGAAAATGGTAACACAAAGTTGTGTGATAAAGTTACTTGGAGTTACCGAAAAATACGGAGGGATTTAAATTGCGTACATATTGCTAATCATAAACCCTAGAAATCCCAGAAATCCCACAAACGATAGATTACACAGTGTGATTTAGTGGCGTGGCCTACTCTTGTTAGTGTTTCATGCTCGGTGCCTTCCGTACAACACATTTTCCGTAGGGCTATACCAAAACACTCCAGATACGGAGCCGTGCGCTGCCTCACTTCTGCCACTGCCGTGCGGCAGATCTCTGGTCGCATGCCCCGAACAGCACCCTTAACTGACTCATTCATCTCATTCATGGTTTTCCTTTTCATTCAGTACCTACACGTGAACCTTGAAATATCTCAAAATTGAGCTCTAGGGCTTAAAATTGGGATAACGCGCGGTTCAGGAGTGAGGAGTCCATAGCCAGCTGAGAGATCAGACTAGAGCAGCGGCTCCCCCCCGAAGCGCGTCGTAGTCACTAAGCCAGTAACGGGCTACGGGGGCTGTTTGTGCGCCGCTGCTCCGTCCTGCTGCGTCCTCTGCCTCGCAGGAGCCGCGTTTACATAGGGCTCGTTGCCAGATAGCGGAATTCCGATACCGATACATTTTTTCCACTAACGAGACATTTCGGGTACATTCCGCTAGACCTATCCGGCCTTCTGGCCGGATAGGTCGTCAGAACTAGCGGAATGTACCCGAAATGTCTTGTTAGTGGTCAGTGGAATAAATATCTCGGTAACGGAATTCCACCATCTGGCAATGAGCCCTATGTAAACGGGGCTAGTCTCTTCTTCAGCGGCGTCCAAAGCCTGAAAAGCACTGCTGTGTGCCACTGGGCGTTCATTGTCTCACTCCCGCCCTCTTTATTCTCAAAACAAAATATTCACAATCTCGTGTCCTCCCAGATGTCCTTTTGGCCTGCTCTCGGCCATGCTAGCGGTCTTGTTCAGGTTTGCTACGCTTCCCTTTATTGAAAATGTCTACACACATAGATCAACACAATATCAAAATTACACTAACTGATGGTGCTTTATAGGCGTTTTAAAAGCTCCTTAACCCGCGCCCCACTGGGGTCTGCGTATAACACGCCCTACTGGGGGGGGGGCCTCTCCATAGCCCCCTTCCTAACTCCGAAACTACTGGGCCGATCGTAAAAAATCAAACGGCGTCTGATAGCCCTCGAAACACTGTCGCGCGAAACCTAATTTCATTTACCTCGAGGTCACCGATGACGTCACAGGTCAGGTCAAAGTAAAAATTATTAGCATTTCGGCTTGTTCACATTTTGGGCTCTGACCGCCGTCTTACAAGTCAGATCAGGCTCATTTTTGGTGTACACACTCGTGAACAGATGCTCTAGATACCTTGAGGGTACAAAACTTGTACTTTGATTTTCAGGTCAGGGTCAGGTCATCACAGGTCACGGAAATATTATATCATGCGTCGGTCACGTGACGCATGTTTTATGGTCAAGTTAGGCCATATATTTCGAATTTGATGTCGTCTGTGTCATTCGAGGTCATTTTGAGTCGAATTTAGCTTAGGTCAAGTCACTTTCAGTTCACAAATGGTCAAATTTTGAAGTTTAATGTTTCCAACAAAAAAGGTGTCTATTGGATGCAGTTTGAGCTCCAGAACACGATGGTGCTATTTATTTTGGTGTACGATGTCAAAAACGTACTGAAAAATGGATTTGAAAAATTATTAATTGTGAAATTTTTGCAATAATGCGTATAACTTGGCCATTTTTGAAGATATTTAGCTAAAACTTGCTAGAGTTAGTCATAAGCAAGCGTTCTGTCACATATATTCCGGTTTTTCCGAAAAATTAAAAACTTTATGAAAAAAATAAAAATATAAATTTGGAATATTATTATAAAAGTTTCAAAATCAACAAAATTTGACAATCCGAGATAGCAGTTTGATAGCGCAGTCAATTCTGAGTCCTTTCATGTAAATAAATTGGATCTAGCTTAAAAACTGAGCTCTTGGAAGCGATTGTCGTGGTTCAATATTTTGCGTCGAAATCGGCCGAACATGACGTCACTCTGACGTCATTTCCGGCCGACCTATGGTAGCTACGAAGTTAAAATTTTAACACAAGGTGTCAAATTGATGCAGCCGAAGGTACTGAAAGTTTGGCGTCGATATGTCAAGTGGTTGGGAAGTCATTGCAGAAAAATGGGAGGGGGGGGGGCTATGAATAGCCCCCCCCCCCCCAGTGGGGCGCGGGTTAAATTTCCTATCGTCTGCAACACAATAGGTATTTTGGCTCGAAGTCGAATTGTAATATCGTGTCATTATGTCTTTCCTTGTATATATAGCAATACAATACAATATAATGCAATGCCAGCTTTAACCGTCGCCGGCCGGGGGTGCGGGTGGATGCCGCCCCCATAGGATATTTTTCGCGATAGCTCATAACACACCGGGATAGAGCTGAAACTTCTCCAGGCCAGATCTTGTGACACCAACCGAATTTTCAGGTCAGGTCAGGTCACTGACCCTCAGATGTCGCAACTTCGCAACGCCCTCACTGTCAGAGAGGTTCGACCACACGAAACCATACCGCACGTCGGTTCAACAAACACAACATACGAGCATTCTAGGCACTGAGAGTAGTTGGTACGAATTCCGAATTTTAAGTTTATTACAAGCATCAAGAAACAAAATCATCTGAATTCATCTGGCTTCTCGAATGTATATAGCACCACACCAAAAGTGTGTGTATGTAGCTTGACCAAATGGAACACGTCATCGTTCAACCGAGCAGCCTGTCCGTGAGGCGGAAGCCAAGGTCGGACATACGGGCGGGCCGCGTATAAAAGCGTCGGACGGCGGGTGGATTTCCCATACCTGCTACATTGCATGATTAAATCGAGACATCCAGGCATTTTAATGGCACGTGCACTGTACCACACTTTTCAAAGTTTAATGCAGTGCTTTAATATTGCCAGCCGTGTGGTTCAAGGGGTGTGGTTAAACGCGTTGAACCACACGGCTGCTGACGTCACTATCAATTATAGTTGTGAGCTTTTTGGCAGGTATGGGAAACACCTTCCAGCCCTAAGGCCGGGAATTCAATAAATGTCACCTCGCTTTTTTAGCGAAAAGCACCTCGGGCCTAACGGCCCTCGGAGTTTTCGCTAAAAAACCTCGGTGACATTTATTGAATCATCCCGGCCCCGGGCAGGAATATATTATCACACACTCACTGATCTACTCTCCCAGCAGTCGGAGGAACTACAAGCCGCAGAGATGAACGCCAAGCTTGCGGTAAGCTTTTTACAATTTCTTTTTTATCCGGATCGTCATAACATGCTGCGGCTTCATTTTCATACCACTCAACTAAAACGGTAAATTATTTATATGTTTACTTTAAGCAGTTGCTATAACACACGGCATTATAGTTCTTGGGAAAAACGGCATAACTGAAAGTTTGCTGTTGTTGTCACATTCAATCAAATAATGATACGTGCACGATTTTTCCTGATCAGCGTATTCTTCTCCACAGCTGCTGTGTCTGGCTGCCCTGGTGGCTGTCGTCTCTGCTAGCGGACACGGATACGGATACGGATACTCCGGATACCGCTCCGCCCCTGCCCACTACGGTGGATACCGTCGTGCCGGATACGGCTACGGCGGTTACGGCAGCTACGGCAGCTACGCCCCCCGTAGCTACGGCTACCACGGCCGCCACCGCCGCTCTCTGGGCTACAACTCCTACGGATACGGATACACTCCCCGCAGCTACGGATACGGACACACCGGATACGGATACGCTCCCCGTAGCTACGGATACGCCTCTCGCTCGTACGGATACGCACCCCGGTCTTACGGATATGGTTACCGCTCCGGGTACTACCACTAAATGTCATATCACCAAATGTTCCTTTTCACAAGTGCTTGCTATGGTGTCATCAACCTCTCGCTCAATAAACGAAATTGATCTTTAATATGGAGTTTCTTTTGTCCGTTTGATGCCTCCACAAAACTATTTAGGCCTGCTTCGAGAGTATAATCCACATTTTCCTCTTTTACACAGCCTCACTAGTGTTCCCACCGCCATCTCCTGCGGAACCTTGGCGACTACCCTGCCCTCTTTGGATGGTGCCTGACTAGCCAATACCGCAGCTCTGGTCCGTTGGAAAGAGACATGCTGGAAAGCTTCGGCCAATGAAAGAAATAAGTGATGAAATCAGTCGCCAACATGTTTATGTCTAAGAAGAATGTTGTCACTATAAGCGGCAATGTTACTCTTCATCGCCATCAAAGAAATACAAAGCAAGTGCACATACCTACCTATGGGCTATGCTTCAAATAAAAAATGCATGGTCTTTACCGTGTTTATTAGTTATCAGAATGCGAACACTTTTATCAAAACGCAGCAAATATCAAATCCTATAATAAAAAAAATGACATGTGAACGATGCCACATAGCGTTCAAACGCAAATAACATGGAGGGCTCGTAGAGCGTCTACCACCGCACAAAACGCCCTACCATGACGCGTAATAATACAGCGTTTCGGTCTATTCTAAGTTCGTCAGGTCTATTCAGGTTCGATATCTCTCATCAGAGGGTCCGAGTATCAAAGACTCTCAAAAGAGTGCGCTGAGCAATACACATGGTCGATCTGCAATCTGCATACATGTATGCAAAATGGAAACCCATTCGCCAGCATGCAGCCTTAGTAACATAAAAACAAGCTTCGTTTTTTGAACAATAAGCATACCCGATATCCACGACATGATTGTTGATTATTTACTCAGGCTGAAATTGGTACGATCTAGAGCAGGCTAACTTTTTGGTCAATTCTTCCTAACATGCTCTGGCGGTTCAGCATGCCATGCATGCTGCATGCATGCTCTTGAAAAAAAACTTCGATTCAGCCTTACGCTGTGACTAACACGAACAAGTTTGCAGCGTGCTAAAAGTTAACATGAAATGTTTGCCCACCGATTCTTTGAACCGTTATAGCATTATTGTGTAGAAATTAGCAAATAAAAACACTGCATGGTACATATACAATGGAAATGATAATGATAATGACAACAATGCCACGTTGTGCGTGCAATGGACGGAATCGGTTTGGCGGGTACTACCGTATGGCTTTATTTTTAAATGACACCGTGGTCATTTCTCGCTGAAGTATGCCTACACCTGTCTATACATAATTCTAATGAATGGAGCAGCTCTGGCCTCTGGCCCTATAACCTGTTAGCAAAATCTTGGACCGCTAACCTACAACGCACAACAATCTGTAACAGCTTCTTTCCTAGCCCTGCCAAGCAAAAAATCAACAGGGCAGCGTTGATCAAGCACAGAATCAAGCCAGCACTGCACCGGCACCGGTTCCAGCAGTGTCTTGCCTACAAACTAAACGCACAGCTAGCGCACAGCTAGCAAAATCCAGCACAGCTAGCGACCTCTCAGATCTCAGATCTCAGATCTCAGATCCAAGCATCGATCGATCTTTCAGCCCGCTCACATCACAGTTCGGTTTGGTTCGTAGCCGTGCTGATGTCGTTATCCTGAACCGTGGCCAGCGATGGCGGCTTGCTGATGCTCGAGGCAAAGTGGGCGTTCTCCTTCACACCCATGTTCCCATCCAGGAAGGTCTCCTCGTAGAAACGCTCGTGTTTTCTGAAACATTGCCGATAAATCAGCAGGGCAATGGAGTTACGCAATGAAACGGAGCTGGAAGGTAAGCGGGAAGGGTAGAAATAAGATCGATTTTTACGAGAATGTAAGTCATTCCGTTTGACTAACAACAGTAAATGTCACCCTTTTAATTGTTGCAATAAACAATTAAACTCATTAGGAAGGCTAAAAATTGTTCAATCACTCATTCAAATGATTTTCATTTACCGTTTATTGTTCTGCCAGAGGAAGCAGAACACTGCTACCACCAGCAGCAGTAAAAAGGCCAGCGCGGTCACCGTCCAAAACGCGATGTGCAGCGGCTCGCTGGGTTTGTCCCACCAGAACTGAGAGTCAAAGAAACACATCACATAAACTGGAGGCTATAAGGGTGCGGAATGGGTCTCTATGGCTTATATGACACCAATGTAATAAAAAATAAAACAAAGAGCTGGTTTTTAGCTATTGCATGAGCACCAGAAGCAATGACAACAAAGTGTGAACGAACTAACAAGCGCTGTAACAGGCGTCCCTGAAAGCCGATACAGCAACAGTAGGCGGTCAACCAACTGTATAAATAATTGTGTTCATTATTCCCAGCGCTTTGATGACTCGGAGCATTGGGCAGCTATCAAATCCACTGATAAAAAGCAAACAAACATGTCACCCGAATCTTGTTCAGCTGAGTCGATGCAGTGTATTGTGTTTCATGTATACCTATTCGGTGCTTGATGATATTAAAACATAATAATAGGTGTTATCCATTTACAAAATTAAACAGAGTTATTAGTAATACGATACCACCGGAATCTTTTGACTTTCCAAATGTCGGTAACTGGTGACTATTGATATTTTGCATCAGTGTGAAGCAACATTACGAATGACTTGACCTCGGCTGCGAGGTGGGACAGGTCGCATCCGGTCCTGTCAGATTCTGTCTTATTGTACATAGTTGGAGGCGACTACTTAGGCTGTGAAACCGTTGAGTTCGACATAACATAGACAAGTCATGTAATGATGTTCAGCGTCTGTTTCTTACGACTCTGGATATAAGAATGAATGAGTGGGTGAATTGGTGAGTGAGTGAGTGAGTGAGTGAGTGAGTGAGTGAGTGAGTGCGTGAATGAGTGAGTGACTAAGTGAGTGAGCAAGTAAGGGTAAGTGATGGTCCTGTACGCCCTGGTCCGCTCACCGCTGAACTCTACCTTTACATATTATATATGCATTAAAGGGACTATCCCACCTTCTAAAATGTTGTTAAAACCAGTTAAATTGTGCCCGACTTTATAGATTGGATGACCAGGAACACGGTTCCGGCATTTATTTTTCATTAAACATCTTAGGTTTCCCATATTCCAAACACAAACCTTCAAATATGTGACGTCACAGCCCAAAATTACCTCCTTCCCCAGGCCACATTACTGTCATAAAGCTGATTCTTTTTACTCTGTAGGCACCACAACAAAGTTCAGACCAAGTTTTAAACAATTTTTCAACGAACAAACCCATTTAAATCAGAATGACTAAACGAGGTGACGTCACACTAACGGTCGCTCCATGTTGAAGATAGGGCCTTGTACAAGGCCCATTTTCAAATAAAGGGAACGAATTTCTTCAACACCAAGAGGCCGCGGGGGTTGCAACCTAGATAGATAGTGGTTTCTGAACCTCGCCGCAAACTTGGCTATCTCAACTTAAACCCCATGTTAAAGGTGGGATAGTCCCTTTAACAGTCCACCGGTCCAACTGACCGGGCTGCCACAGGCAGTGGCCCCCGTCCACTGACCTCTGTGATCGGCCGATAGGTGACCAATTCCCTCGCAGTCAGCGTGGGTAGGTAGGACGTCCAGAAGGCCGTCTCCGTCTGCCGGTAGTTGCTGTGCATCGTGCTGTTGAACGTGTTGTTGATGCTGAGGAAGCGCTGGTCGCCCGGCAGAGCAGACTTCCAGCTGACGTAGCCCAGGATCTGACGTGGGGATGGGCGACTGCCGGGAGAGAGAGAGAGAGGGAGAGAGAGAGAGAGAGAGAGAGAGAGAGAGAGAGAGAGAGAGAGAGAGAGAGAGAGAGAGAGAGAGAGACAGAGACAGAGACAGAGACAGAGACAGAGACAGAGACAGAGACAGAGACAGAGACAGAGACAGAGACAGAGACAGAGACAGAGACAGAGACAGAGACAGAGACAGAGAGCGAGAGAGAGAGAGAGAGAGAGAGAGAGAGAGAGAGAGAGGGGGAGAGAGAAATATCAGTCTGTGCATGCTCAATTTCTACTTAGCATCTTATTATTTGCTCATCAAAAGTCAATCTTCATGACAAAGCCATTGTCACTTTGCCTATCTCTTTTCTGGATATCCTTGTAACCCGCTCTTGCGTTCTAACAGGTCGGCACATTGTGGTTTCAATTTCAAACGGAATGTGGATGCCTTTTTAACACCGCAATATTTTAGGCAGAAGTGCCGTTGGCTGTCGGGGAGAAGTGGGTTCAATATCCCCTAAGAAATGGAGTGTGTAATGTCAGAACGCATTACGCACACCAGCAAGAGAACTGCATACAAGAGAACGGCTGGTAGGAACCTTACGTCCACTAAGCATTAATTTGACCCAAGAAAGATCGCTTTACGCATTGTGAATTTACGTTCTCCGGCATTTTAATGCACTTAGGTACATTGAAGCGCGTGAATAAAACGAATAAAAGGTACTCAGATTTGAACATAAACTATTTGTAATCAAAAGATTTGTCTAATTGATTCAAATGGCTAAGTTCGTGCTGGATAACTGCATATGTACCTTCCCCAAATTTTTACATCTCAAGCTGTGAGTAAAATAACAATAAAGACCTATTAAAAAAACATATCCACCTCTGTTCGGCCACGTCAGCTGCCAGGCACCACAGAAACTGGCATCACTCTTTTCCAATTTAACAGAGCGCGCTCACCCGTATTTGGCAAAATTAGAAAACGCCTCTATGAATAGCTGGCTCATGTTCCTGTCTCGCTCCGTCCATTCGCTTCTGTCGATCCGGATGTCTCCAGGGAAGAACTCTGAAAAAATACACACACTTATAAATTCGCATATCACTCAGAAGACAACGTAACAACTGATACCGTAGCTTGGTTTCAGAGTTGTTAGTTAGCTTTTTCTGTTGCTTAGTTCCCTTTGAACTGGTAGATAGCTGGGAACGACAATCAACAGGACGATGGCAACAGGAATCGCACAAGGGTCCCTCGGAGCTCAACAGCAACTGGATACTCCCACTAGGATCTCTATAGCAACAGCTGGATAATATCTTTTTCATCCCTGAACCTAAGTATCATCAGTTGAAATCGTGGACCTAAAATTAAGTATTACCTATCACATCGACCAGTTGTTGGATTTACTTGAACACATACTCACCTGGATCCATGAAGGGTGCTCCCGTCAGCAGGTAATACTGGAGTCCGTGGGGGACCTCTCTCCAGAAGGGTGCCTTCAGTGCCTCCACGCTGGTATTGAACACATACTGGTACGTCGGAATGTCCATATCCAGAGCCAGCTTTACCATGGCGTCAACGGGAGCTCGATAGAGCGAGTCCGAGAGAAACTGTGGACAGAGACGGCGTCATCAGAAATGGAGAGAGAGAGAGAGAGAGAGAGAGAGAGAGAGAGAGAGAGAGAGAGAGAGAGAGAGAGAGAGAGAGAGAGAGAGAGAGAGAGAGAGAGAGAGGCAGACAAACAGACATACAGAGAGACAGACAGATAGACAGACAGACAGACAGACACAGACAGACAGACAGACAGACAGACGCACTGACGGTGATAAAGATACAAATAATTACGGAGCGAGCGAAGCGAACGTAGTCTTTCCTTAGATTAACGGAAATTTCTGAGTATGAGCGGCCGGCCGGCCGGCCCATAGAGATCTTATATACATAGAGATGACACGCCTATGTTAAAGCACTTGATTTCGTGGCGATTCAGTGGGTATTTTTAAGCAAGGTTTTCTGGGGTGCCATGGCCCGTGACTTGCATTTTGTAAGGATTCGGTCAAGGAGATTGTGTTCACATCCGCTTATTTTTAAGTACAGCTTTTCTTTTTTGTCTAGCTGTGACGCTTTCGAGCGTTATTATTGAAATGAAATTAGGCATGTTTTAACCTTATGCTCGTATCGGGCACTACATGTATCATTTACCCTCGCCGGCCGACGGGGGGGGGGGGGTGCCGCCCCCCATAGGGGTTTTCACGATAGCTCCGAACACGCCGGCGATAGAGAGCTGAAACTTGGCATACCTACCTGACCTTTGATCCAAGCCGCATTTTGTGACACCAACCGCATTTTCAGGTCAGGTCAGGTCACTGACCTGTGACGTCATAAGTGAACCTCTGCACAGTCCTCAGATGTCGCAACTTCGCAACGCCGTCAGTGCCAGAGGAACTTTCACAGGGAGATGAAACTTACATACAGGATGTAGTATCCTCCAGAGGTCTCACAGCTTGTATATCTCGGATTTTCCCTAAAAATCACATGAGGTCAGGTCGGCCACGTGACCTCACCAATAATCACCATTAGGTATAACTCAATGGGGAAAAATGAAAACTGCTATGTTAGCGCCGAGAACTATCTCAAACTGTCTCCAGCACATGGAATCGTGATTTCTTGCACGCCTTGCAACGTCCGATTCTTCACTTTTGCATTGTTGTCATTGCGTGACGTCATTTATGGTCACTTGGGTCATTAGAGTTTTTCATCAATAACTCCCCATCAAATTGAGTTAGCGAGTCGGGAAGGCCACCAAAAAAAAAAAAAAACGCAGGAAGACCTGCCGATTCGAGTAATATGTAACATGACCTCTTTCAATCATCTTCGTGATCTGGGGGCGCTGACCTGCCCTTGACCCGAGGTTGACACCTCAAGTTGACCTCACCCGAACAAAAAGTATACCATTCGACGCGCCTGAGCGAGGTGAACACGATGATGCCAAAATCGCGGCTCTCCGACCGTTTTTTGCGAAGTTATGAAAAACTGAACCCTTGCCCTTGGTCACTTGACCTGACCTCAGCGGACACCGGTTGACCTGAGACCTTAAAATCGGGTTCGCTGCTTCTTGCAACGGCGCACGCGCTTGTTTTTTTTCCGCGACGCTCTAGCTAGTAGCTTCATCAGGGGCGAAATGGCGAGGGAAATCGTACCCCCCCCCCCCTCGGACGGCGCGTATGTAGAAAACCAATAGGTCCGGGGAGGGTTAATGTATCATTGAATGGGAACATGTAACATATGTATATTTGAGCTTGCACCGTGCTCAGAAAGGTTCAGAACAGCCGTTTTCGCGACGGTTGACCGAAAGCGCCAAACTTGACCAAATCTCAAGAAACCTACCCTGAAAATTCCATGAACCTGACCCAAATGACCTAAGACCTGTGACCTTTTTTGGGGGGACCATGTCGAGGGGCCATAAAACATGCATAGCACAACCCAAGTAAAGTTGGGTTCATGTGCTGACCCTTGGTGACCTGACCTGTGACCTGACATGGTATTATCAGTGACCTCTAATAGCAACATATATACATACCAGTAAAACGCCTTTTGGGCGAAGAACGAGCGAGCGAGATAGTGAGCCCTGCACGTGCGGAAGGGCGACAGGGTACTTCCAACGGGCTTGTGCAAAGCACCCTTCTAACCGGTCGCTAGCGGTGTACCAAATTTGAGCGCAATCGGCCCAGCCGTTCTCGAGAACTGGAAACGCCCCCTGCACGTGCGCACGTGCAGTAGCACCCTAACCGCAACACATGGGAATGTATTGCCTGGTGGGTGCCTACCTGTATGCCAAGTTTCAGCGAGATCGCCCCAGTAATTACCGAGTTACTGAAATGGGAACAAATTTGGCACCTCTTCTTTTTGTATTTTACAGGTGCAGTGGGGGTGCCTCACATAGATCAAAAGTATCCGACCTTTAGTAGAAGAGATGCAGCTACCCTATAAAAATTACCGCAAGGCAATCGCTTAAGCCGCTGCTGAGATATGGGCCTCTCAAAATAATTACTTTTGCAAAACTGCTTGAACACCCTTGACTTTTCATGTGGCACGTGCCACGACGGTCACTGAGATGTATCAAAAGTAGTCAATTACGGGGTAGAAGGGATGGGGCTACCCAGCAAAAAAGACCGCAGGCTAATCGGTCCAGCGGTTGTTGAGATATAAGCCTCTCAAAAGCGTTACAGGCCGGGCCGGGCCGCTCATACTGAGATTTTTCCGTTATATTGAAAAGACTTCGCTTCGCTCGCTGCGCTCACTCGCTCGTAACTAGGCAACGTACGCCCTATTGCTGATTTTCGACAAAATGCGTTTTACTCTTTGTTATAGCGCATTCCCTAGAAGACCTGTGAACGGCGAAACATTTATCTTTGACCTGACCTGTGACGTCGTCGGTGACCCCGAGGTCAATGAAATTGGAGTTCCGTCGACAAATTTGACAGGGCTATCGAGCATCGTTTGAATGTTACGGATCCGTCCAGTAGTTTCGGAGATACGGGAGGGGGACAAAAAAAAAATGCCTCCCCCACCGCGCGGAAGGTGGCCGGGAGGTCCACCGCCTGCCCGGTTGATGAGAGCCTGAATGAGAGAGAATGTTTTTAGGCGAGCTTTTAAGGAATTCAATAAAAACACAAAATGAAATCATGCTACCAATTTCAGTGCTCACCTTAGGAATGAAATCAGCGAGGAAAGAACAGCAATATTTTTAACCAGTAAAACGCCTTTTGAGGCGATCAACAGAACGAGCGAGAGGGTGGGCCTTGGACAAGTGAAATTGCCAGGGACACCTCCAACTAACTTGTGCACTGCACCCTACTAACCGCTCCCTAGCGATGTGCCAAATTTGAGCGCAATCGGCCTAGCCGTTCTCGAGATCTGGAAGCGGCACCCTGCACGTGCGCACGTGCGAAGTGGGTCCCAACCGACTTTTCACGGCACCCTACTAACTGGTTCCTAACCATGTACCAAATTTCAGCACAATCGGTTCAGCCGTTCTCGAGATCTGGAATCGACCCCTGCACGTGCGCACGTGCAGCAGCACCCCAACTGTGGCACATGGATATGCATTGCCTAGTGGGTGCCTACCTACATACCATGTTTCAGCGCAATCGGCCAAGTAGTTACCAAGATATTGCAACAATTACAAAACTGACACCTCTTCGTTTTGCACGTGGCACGTGCATAAGCGGTCACCCACATGCATCGAAAATAGTCCAATACTTGGTAGAAGGAATGAAGCTACCGTACAAAAATTATTGCATGTAAATCGGTCAAGTGATTGCTGAGATAGGTAAGCCTCGCAAAAGCGTAACCACGGCCGGCCGGCCGCTCATACTCAGAAATTTCCGTTAATCTACGAAAGACTACGCTCGCTTCGCTCGCTCCGTAATGATTTCTTCAGACTAACAATGCCTCAGCCATATTGGCACGCTACTGGCTGAAAATAAGTTGCTTAAAAGACCCACTGAATCGCCACGATTTTAAGTGCATGTCATCTCTATGTAGGTATATAAGATCTCTATGGGCCGGCCGGCCGGCCGGCCGTGCGGACGCTTTTGCGAGGCTTATATCTCAGCAACCACTTGACCGATTTACACGGGGTAATTTTTGTAGGGTAGCTTCATTCCTTCTACCAAGTATCGGACTATTCCCGATGCATGTGGGTGACCCCTTATGCACGTGCTACGCGCAAAACGAAGAGGTGTCAGTTTTATAATTGTTGCAATATCTCGGTAACTACTTGGCCGATTGCGCTGAAAGTTGGCATGTAGGTAGGCACCCACTAGGCACTGCATATCCATGTGCCAGAGTTGGGGTGCTGCTGCACGTGCGCACGTGCAGGGGTCGTTTCCAGATCTCGAGAACGGCTGGACCGATGGCGCTCAAATTTGGTACACGGTTAGGGACCAGTTAGTAGGGTGCCGTGCACAAGTCAGTTGGGACCCATTCTGCACGTGCGCACGTGCAGGGTGCCGCTTCCAGATCTCGAGAATGGCTGGGCCGATTGTGCTCAAATTTGGCACATCGCTAGAGACCGGTTAGTAGGGTGCCGTGCACAAGTCAGTTGGAGGTACCCCCTCGAAATTTCGCACGTGGAAGGCTCACCCTCTCGCTCGCTCCGTTAGTCGCCCCAAAAGGCGCTATACTGGTCATACAGACATACATACCAGTAAACTGATAACATGGCCATACACATATTGGAGATAGCGACACTTTCCTTAGAATAACGGAAATTTCTGAGTATCAGCGGCCGGCCGTGCGGACGCTTTTGCGAGGCTCATATCTCAGCAACCACTTGACCGATTTACATGCGGTAATTTTTGTAGGGTGGCTTCATTCCTTCTACCAAGTATTGGACTATTCCCGATGTATGTGGGTGACCCCTTATGCACGTGCCACGTGCAAAAAGAAGAGGTGTCAGTTTTGTAATAGTTGCAATATCTCGGTAACTATTTGGCCGATTGCGCTGAAAGTTGGCATGTTATACATAGGCACCCACTAGGCCATGCATTGCATATCCATGTGCCAGAGTTGGGGTGCTGCTCCACGTGCGCACGTGCAGGGGTCGTTTCCATCTCGAGAACGGCTGGACCGATGGCGCTCAAATTTGGTACACGATTGGGGACCAGTTAGTAGGGTGCCGTGCACAAGTCAGTTAGGAGTTAGGACCCATTTTGCACGTGCGCCCGTGCAGGGTGCACCGCTTCCAGATCTCGAGATCGGCTTGGCCGATTATGCTCAAATTTGGCACATCGCTAGAGACTGGTTAGTAGGGTGCCGTGCACAAGTCAGTTGGAGGTACCCCCCCCCCCCCCCACACACACAGAAATTTCGCACGTGCAAGGCTCACCCTCTCGCTCGCTCCGTTAGACGCCCCAAAGGCGTTTTACTGGTTACAGCCAATAAGGAACGTAATGACGCAACTGTGTCGTCATTGGGCAAAACAATATGGCCACCTCTAAGGAGACGCAGGTGCAAAAAGTTCCCGGATGTAGACAGCTCTGACGTCACTGGGATCGAAGCCAATGACATCAGTATTCAGTAGGTACTCAATCCATGGCAAAGCAAAGTACATACATATTACATAGTGCCATCCCCTTGACTGACAGGCAAAAATCACGCACAGCCAGAGACTGCGTCAGCGCGCTGAGTGGACCGACAAAGCCAAAAGTGAGCGCCAGAGAAAATTTGCGCAGTTTGAGGGAGCCATCCACAGACGAGCTGTGAGACTCGTGAGACACTCGTGAGACACATCAGCATGCATAATGCAAAGCTAGCGCATTCAAGTATCTACATACTCGTATGAGCCGTTAGGTTCCATTGACAATAAGCTTATTTACCATATGTGCTTATTTTCATTCAACATCGTAGGAGTACTCGTAATATCTCAGGAACCTGTAGCAGATGCAATAGAATTAGAAATCACTTTGCTCTTCAATAATTGATGCAATTATATCTAGCGCATAGTGGGAAAATGGCTAAAATCACTTTTCAAGGTCAGGGGTCAAGGTATAAAAACGTCATATGTGTAGTAACCTCAAACTCAGTGTTTCAACTTTCAGAGGACGGCGTGATGCATGAAACCGGCCAAAATGGATAGGAAACAAAAGGAGAGAATCTGAGGAATCCGATCATGTCTTGAAACTTCACAATCAAGGTCGAGGTCATCCTCAAATTTGACCTCAAACTTTGCCCTTATTTATATACCTTGTATAATAAATTCCAAATTGCTTTGATATAGTAAGAAGGTTATCAGGACTCTATTTGTGGTCAATGTTAAGGTGCGAGGCTGTCTCAAGGTCAAGGTCACGCACGAGTATCCTTGCTAAAGGTTATTTACGAATTAAGGTACGATATTATAATGTAGCAAATTGTGTACGTGCAAATTATCACCTTATATCTCAGCACGTGCCGCCTAGTCACTACCTGTCCGTCATCCAATCTGCAATTCCAGTGAAACCACTCCCCAGAGTGTTCCAATCAATCGCCCGGCAGAGGCGCTCGGCAGCGAGAAGCTGCGAAGCTGATTGTAAAAGCCTGTCGAGGACGTTTGCAGGCTGGCCCCGCGATGGTTTCGAATTCGTTCAGTGAGTCCTACCGATCCATGTTGAGCTGTGACCGACGACCGACGATCGACGATCGACGGTCGACGATTGACAGCAACTCGATGTGATGAGACCAGACAACTCTTAGAAATGGACCTGAGGCATTTCGACATGCGCTGTCCACATTTGTGTGGTGCAAGCGCTGAGATTGCAACGCAATGCGATAGTTGTTGGGCATTCTAGGGCATCTGGTGTGGTTAAGCTAGCAGTGCCATATTCATCGCCATTCCGATTGTCGCTACGTGGTCCAAGAGTGGAGTTGGAAGGGGGAGGGAGCGCAAATACATCCATCCTTATGTCTGTCTTGATATGCTACATTTGGAGCACCGACCCGGCTGAGCTAGCCTTACTTACCAATTGGCATGCACTGTATCAAACTGTTGCCCGCCTACACACAACCAGCCAAATAACAAGCGCTGTCTATATTTCAATCCATATGCTGAACTTACATTGACGAACATGTGCCTGGTCCATGTCCTGTTGAGCGGGTCGGGCCAGTAAGTGTACAGATGTCGAACAGCAGTCTCCACGCCGCGCACATTCAGTGTGTAGTTGTTCTGAAGAACCCACTCGTGGATTCGCTCGTCCACCCACCGCTGGTCAATGTCAAACTCCGGCCCCAGACTACTGTTCGTATCTGTGAAAAATGAGAATCGAAAAGGAGATAAAACGACGGTAAACGACGGTCGACGGTAAAAAGGGGCTCTAGGCTCTAAAAAGGGGCCAGAAATGTGCCACGGTGCGATGAAGGCGGCGCATTGTCACACATTTGCCTTACCTGGAGAGAAAACCGTCTGGAAAATGTTACGTCATTATCGTCACAAGCGCATGTATGGCCTACATAATTTGTTGCTAAAAAGAGACATTTATTGAAATGCCCACACACCTATGTGCCGATAGAAGCTGTAAAATGCACTGTAAGGAAAACAGACCCTTTAGTTTAGAGTTATATGAGCATTTAGCACAGGCTCTACGATTACATTGACCGTTATTCCGACATTTAACCCGCGCCCCACTGGGGTCTGTGTATAACACGCCCTACTGGGGGGGGGGGGGGCTATTCATAGCCCCCCCTCCTAACTCCGAAACTACTGGGCCGATCGTCAAAATTCAAACGGCGTCTGATAGCCCGGAAAAACTGTCGAGCGAAACCTAATTTCATTGACCTCGAGGTCACCGATGACGTCACAGGTCAGGTCAAAGTAAAAATTATTAGCATTTTGGCTTGTTCACATTTTGGGCTCTGGCCGCCGTCTTACAAGTCAGATCAGGCTCATTTTTGGTACACACACTCTTAAACAGATGCTCTAGATACCCTGAAGGGTACCAAGCTTTTACTTTGATTTTCAGGTCAAGGTCAGGTCATCACAGGTCACGAAAATATTTTATCATGCGTCGGTCACGTGACACATGTTTTATGGTCCATTTAGGCCATAGATTTCGAATTTGATGTCGTCTGTGTCATTCGAGGTCATTTTGAGTCGAATTTAGCTTAGGTCAGGTCACTTTCAGGTCAAAAAAGGTCAAATTTTGAAGTTAAAATTTTTCAACAAAAAAGGTGTCTATTGGATGCAGTTTGAGCTCAGGAACACGATGGTGCCATTTATATTGGTGTACGATGTCAAATACGTACTGAAAAATTGATTTGAAAAATTAATAATTGTGAATTTTTTGCAATAATGCGTATAACTTGGCCATTTTTGAAGATATTTAGCTAAAACTTGCTAGAGTTAGTCATAATCAAGCGTTCTGTCACATATATTCCGGTTTTTTCGAAAAGTCAAAAACTTTTTGAAAAAAATATAAAAATACATATTTTGAATATTATTATATCAAATTTTCGAAATTTTCAAAATTTTGAAAATTCGAGATAGCAGTTTGATAGCGCGGTCAATTCTGAGTCCTTTCATGCAAAAAAATTGGATCTAGCTTAAAAACTGAGCTCTTGGGAGCGATTGCCGTGGTTCAATGTTTTGCGTCGAAATCGGCCGAACATGACGTCACTCTGACGTCATTTCCGGCCGACCTATGGTAGCTACGAAGTTCAAATTTTGACACAAGGTGTCAAATTGATGCAGCCAAAGGTACTGTAAGTTTGGCGTCGATCCGTCAAGCGGTTTGGAAGTTATTGCAGAAAAACGGGAGGGGGGGCTATAAATAGCCCCCCCCCCCCAGTGGGGCGCGGGACTCCAGTCATTGCAGATGGCATGTGTAAATGAAAAACACTTGGACTGAAATTACAAAGGAAACACATCTTTTAAAAACATGTCGTTCATCTCAAGCTGCATATCGGCGTATGTAACAGCTGCCTTGGATTATAATATTTGACTTATTACGGTCATTCCGTTTCATTATTACGCCTTCTAAATGGGTCGGATTAGTAGAGACCGTTGTCGAACCGCTGCTTAGTTGGGTGGCCGTCCCACTTTAGCCCACATGCATCATCCTGCAGCTCATATCGTGGGTCGCTACAGGCGCGGCACGTGATATAGCTGAATCGATAGCGTCGTCGGCCGGCGCGGTGGCACAGCAGCTGATGTCCCTCGAACGGGATACGGGAATGATGAGCCGACAAGGCATCCTACGGTGCAGCAGGTTTTCAGGGCTATAAGTACTAGAGGTGTCAATCGGATACCAACTTTTTGGTATACCGATACCAAACCGATACCAACTTGGTATTTGGTATTTCAAGGCGAGTGCATTTGGTATTTTGTTGGTATTATGAATTGTCACTAATGTAAAAGAGACTGTGACTTTGGTAAAAAGTTGGTATTTTCTTCATATTCCCAAGTCGGTTCGGTATCGGTATTTTTCCATGGATATTGTTGGTATTTGGTTTGGTATCGGTATTACGATTTTCCATAATTGACATCACTAATAAGTACTGCCATTTAGCGACAGTTTTAGAAACATGAGTCGTGTCTTGCGGCACAGCGTGGTTTCAGGCGCCAAAACTTTTACCACCTAGCGGCAGATGTAGAAACTAAGGCCGTGTCTTGCGGCACAGCGTGATCTCAGGCGCCACAACTCCTGCCATCTAGCGGCAGTTGTAGAAACCAAGGTCGTGTCTTACGGCACAGCGTGATTTCAGGCGTCAAGACTCATGCCACCTAGCGGCAGCTATACAAACCCATGCCGTAATTTGCGGCACAGCGTAATTTCTGGTAACACAGACATCGCATCAACATATTGGGAGTTCTGAAGCATATTTCGTGTTTTACAGCCAATCATTTTAGAGGAATAGCATGAGTGAAGAATAAATTGCGTAGACGAGTAAATGTATCATTGTGCTCCATTTAAGTGAAACGTTTGACAGTTTCACTCAACGGTAAAATCTGAAAAAGCTAGCGTGGTTTCAAATGTCTGTCAATATACAGTAGGTTGATGACTGGCTTGCTAGCTGGGCTGCAAAAATTGCCAGCTTTGAATGCAGTAAGTAGTATGCAATTTAGGTTACTGCTTCTCCTAATCGGAGAGCAGCTAATAAATGTCATTTTTTGCCCATTTACAATTCAGCTGGCCATCTCAACATGTAAAAAACAACACCAACTCCCAACCCGAGTAGCATATAATGTATCTCTCCCGGCATAGAAAAGCTGCCTGCTGGGTGCCTATCTCGATCTGCACTGATAGGCATATAACTTATGAACACAGCTACCTCAACCAGACTCGCTAACAAAGACCACTCACTCATCTCGACTGGCCTGTGAAGACAGCTATCTCGCCCTGACTCACATATGAATCCGGCCGCCTCGTCGCGGTTGGCGCCCGTGAGCAGTCGCAGCTCGGAGCTGAAGGCGCGCTCTCTGTAGAGACGCTCCGGGTGATCGGGGAGCACCTGCCAGTCCTGCTGAGTCCAGCCGCGGTACCAGTCGGTCGGAGGTAGCGAGATGTTAGACTGTACCACCGGCGCCCACGGGAACATACCGACGTCGGGCTGCGGGGAGAACAGACAGGAGGTCAGCACTGCGGCCAAACGGTCGACACAGCACGAGAGGGGGTCAGCAGGTCGGGACAGTTGGTACCGTGGCATCACATTACTCAACTCCACCTATAAAGAGCTCAGAGCACAGTTATCAGTCTTCATCTATATATTGACTTCGCCTGTCATTGGAGTAATTCCCGTCGATGATGCCAGAATGAATGAAATGAAATGAACTGAAATGAAGCAGTTATGCAACATAATTGACGATAATTATACAGTCAAATTTCGTCACTACTTGCAATAAATTGCAGGAATGATGCAACGTAACGGCTTTTAAAGAATATTGCAACAATCCAGCTGGATATAGGCGCAATTTGGCTTATTGTGTGCATCCTCTTTACATGCAGCTAATGAATAAGGAGCTGATGTCATGACCTTGCTAGCTCAGCACCTATCATTTCTGCCCAAATTTGAATTAGAGGCGTTTGTGCTCACCGTATCTGTGTGAGTTTACTGGCCTTCCCAGTTCTATGATACTCCAATGCAAGGATTCGGGAGAGTTACATCAGGATATAAATTGACTCACTTGATTTATGATTACGCACATACATATGAGCTGTGTGGGTAGGAAACAAGCCAGAGGTCAATGTCCAGTAGCCAGCGCCCTGCCATGGCTAAACGAGCCCAATAACACTAGAGCCATCTCATCCACTTGTCCGTCCACGCTCCGTCAGCCACGGTCTCCGTTATCTCCTCTCTCTTTCCAGCTTCCCTTTCTCCCCCTCATCCATCTTCCTCGCTCTCCTCGGATCCGCCCTCCCGCAACAGGCTGCAGACCGCCCCTCTGACCGGACCCCCCTCCCCCCACTCCCTTCCGACGGATATCCTGTTCATCCGAGTGTGACCGGCCCCTGCCACCTCGGTCCCGCTGAGCCGACCACACAGCTGTGACGACGACGTTGCCATGGAAACGGGCGCAGTCAGCTAGCGCGGCGGCAGACGACCGACCTGTCCGACGCGGCGCGGCGGCACGCAGAAACGCCTCGGGGCAAACGACCCTGAGCTGTGAGCGGTGGCAGGCACCCGCTCGGAACAACGCCAATGAATGCTGATGTCGAGTGTCATACACACGGCCGCACCCTTACGAATGGCTGCTCGAGGCACCGGACAGGGCAGGCAGCGGCAAAGTGCCGCGCTGTGCACATGGTCCCGAGAAATGCTGCGCCTAGCTAATGGATGCAGTTTCAGGGAAGGGTTCACATCGGTGAGTCTGTTCGCTGTAGCTCAGGATATAACCTTCCCCATCAATGGGTATCGATATGGCGTTCATAAAGGCAAGTCTCCTGTCACTGACAAATTTGAAGAAGACGCACATTGCTATTACCTCTGATTTCAATTACTGCATTTATGTAATCGTCAGTGACAAGTAATGCATTTACCTTATGTTTTGCTTTGATGATCAAATAATCAGCATACGATTTCGTCAAGATTTTTCAGCGTTCTATCCGACATTAGCCGATGAGGGAGATTCAATCATTCCACCTCAGCCTGAGCTCTGTTCGGTCGCTGTTTTTATATCAGCGTGCTGTCGGTTTTCCCCATATAAGGAAGTTTTTGCGTGTGCTTCTTGGCCTCTCATTGGTCTAACGAATAGACAACTTGAATTCGACCAATGAGGAGCCAAGCAGTAGGAGCATGCTCGCAGCCTGCTGATAAATAAACTGGGGGCGAACAGAGCTCTAATGTAGGTTAAAATGGAACTTACTTTGAGCTTTCTAACTGCATCCACGAAGGCAATTAAAAAATACGATTTTCCCGACATAACTATTTGATATTGTTATCATTCACCTATTTCAACTTAATTTGGCACCTTCAACACGACTCACAAAATTGCTTTTCAAGAGCACGTTTTCAGCGCTTACCATAAAATCGACGTCTCCGATTTCCAGGGCGCTCCTGCCGCGCATCAGACAGTTGACCAGCTTGGACGAGGTGTCGGCCAGACATCCGATCCGTTCAGCGAACACCCGAGAGGTGTTCCTCGCTCGCTCCGGGTCGGAGAGAGCGCCCCAGTCGGCCAGAGGAGAGCCGCTCTGCCCGAGCGCAGAGGCGTCAGCTGACATATGTCAGGAAAGGGGGGAGGGGAGCACACCGGCACTTGAATATATTGGTGTGCATGAGCTGGAAGCACTTTTGGAAAACACGGGAGCATTATCCGCTCAGCGGACATGATGAAAAGTGGGAACGCTATTATTATCAGGAAATACGTGAACAGGTATAGATACATGATACAGGAACATTTCGTAGGCAGATGTGCGTGCTCGTGACAAATGTTCGAGTCGCTCACAAACAGCTAGCATGGAAAATCAGCGAAAAAAAAAACTAATAATCTAAAGATTATACCGGTCTACAGATGTATAGTTGACTACAGAATCAGAATGATGTTCCACTTTTCACAGGCAATTATTTGCCTGGAGTGGTAGGCTGTGCCGCATCACACGGGCTGAGTTCACAAATTATAGCTTTGTCCTAATGCTCACAATCGGCACGCTTAATTGCGTGATGAACGGCACAACTTAGCGCTCCGGTCAACTGATAGCTTGTAAGGAGTGGAACATCATTCTGTAGTCGACTATACGCAAGTGAACGCCTGATAATCTCTAGTAGACGGCTCACCTGCGCGATCACTCGGTGTACCAGCTGAGAAGTGCGCGGCGACACGGCCAGGAGACCGGCGCTGGCCGCACCGGCGTCGTCCCCGAATACGGTCACGCGGCTGCGATCACCGTTGAAGTAGTGGATGTTCTCGTGGATCCAGCGCAGGGCCATGGCCTGGTCGAGCAGTCCGTAGTTTCCTGGTGACTGGTCGTCGCCCGTGCTCAGGTAGCCTGGAGATGGAGAGGGTGGGAGGTTCAAGACGGATAAGGCAGACCGTTGCCCCTAGTCCTACAGCTGTGGTAAAGAGCAAGTTCATGGATGCATTAGTAGTCTAGTTAGAATGAAAAATTAAGAATGAATTGTATGTTATATTTGTAGAGTTGAAGAATGAGTTGTACTTTGCATATGCTGTACTTACCTACCTACATTATTTTTCATTGTTGCAACGTCTTTCTTCACATTGTGGCGTCTACCGTCCGAAATACATAAAATGTGTGCATCAAAGCATGCTAGATCTGTCATAAAACTCAGAATCAAATCTCGTTTGATCACCAGCATCGCCGAAGTCGAGCTGAAAGGGCATTCAAAAGTGCGATGAGATCAATTCAAGCACTAGATTTCTCCCACTGACAAGTTCTTCAAATTATCTTCTGCAGCGCTAACGCCTCATTTAACCGTGTTAGTGGCAGGATCCTGGTTAAACTTGGCGGATTCGTATCTCGTACGCCTTTATTGAGCGTTCCTCTACAAAGTTGTATCAGTTAACCAGCTGAGCGTGAAATTTCGTCCAGATTCATCGGTCCGACTGATCGGCAGTACAAAGTCGGTTCAGTGGGCTGATTGCATATAAGTTTGCAGCCTCTAGAAGCCTTTCGTTAATGTATCATCGTCAAACTTTCACCACGTCCAGTGGAGTGTGGCGCAGTGGAGAAGTCTGGTGTGATTTATACGAACAAATGTGAAATATTCCCCGTCGTAGAGGTGATGTAGATGCACCGAACGGTGGGTCAAAACAGATTATCGCATGTACAGGTCTCGCGAGATTAAGCGGTAGGTTTTGCACTTTTACATTTCCGGTTATATCTCAGAAACTAATCGATCTACGATGAAGCCATTTTACACGATCATGGCCGGCTTGTTACCCAACAAGTCGATCGCATCTTCAACACTTAAAAGCTTGAGACGACGAAGATATATCCTGAAGTACACTAAATTTTCTAGGTGCAAAACCTACCGCTAAAACCCGCGAGACCTGTACGCTAAAAGCCTAACGTATGCCCATCAGGTCTATCAGAAAGCCTACATGATACCGAGATCTGTCAAGAAACACCTACTCAGACTTACACAGATGATTTCCCGGGTGGATCTTGAAAGCTGAGCTGACAGGGATTAATATCAAAGTACCGAGATATAGGTACCCGGATGCCTAAAGATCCGGTGCGACACGATTAGGTAAATAGCATAGAATATCACTGCATTGGTCTCAATCCCAGCCTGTCGCGCCCAGGAGGAGAGTGTCAGGGGTCGCCGCGACCAGCGATGGTGAGCGTGGGTTGTGGCGGCTGGACACACACGACGTTGATTTATCACCACCGTGGTCTGTCGTTTAGGGCCGCGACCATCCAGGCCGCGACCCACTGAGGGTCTCATTAATCCAAAATGAGCTACTGTCTTATAATTTTGGTCCTGGACGATCGCAGTCGTCTAAACTGCCAGCCCACGGAGAGCCACTGGTTGGAAGAGTTTTGACAATCAGTCAGGTCGAAAAAAAACTCTGCAAGTTGAAAACAAACATTGAATTTGATGCTACTTAGCCCACGTTTGCCTGTACACTAACTATGTATGTGACTAGACCTATCCTCTTTTTGCAAACCTACTAGAGCAATAAATAGTTCAAAACCGCAGCAATATAGTTTTTGAGCTTTAGCTTACCATAGACTTTCAAAACGCTTTCAAATCCGAGGTGGTGCGTTGTTGGTATCACAATTAATTCTCTATCATCTTATGCAAAAAAAAAAATCAATGCTAGCTAAAAAAAAATGGGCTCTTGAGAACTGTTGCTATGGAACCATGCATTCCATCAAAATCAGTTGAACATGACGTCATTTTGACGTCTTTTTGCACGACCTACAATAGCTATAAATTTTCCGTTGAACACAAAGTGCAAAAATGATGTAGCCAAGAGTACGGAAAGTTTTGTGTCGATACGTTCAGCGTTTTTGAAGGTATAACAGAAAACGGGAGAGGCATCTAAAGAGCCCCCCTCCCCTAGTCAAGCGAAAAAAAAAACATAACACACACAAACTAGTTACACCTCTCTTCATCCCAAATTTTAGGAGGCACAATCGAAACAGAACCAATCTGGACAAGCGATTTACTGTTTTTCATTTTCATGTTTATCATTCATGTTCATTTACCAAGGAGGTTGATGTTGGTCGCAAACGCATATCTCTGAAGAAAAGTACGCTACTACCTATTGCTGAAAAAGACAATAGTATTATTGTGCTAATAGAGTTGCCCGAACGACAAAGAAACCCATCCCATGGAGGCCATCGACTTTCCTCGGTAAAAGAAGCAATTTCATCACTGCCATCTGCAGGAACGCACCCCACACATAGCTAGGAACGATTCTGCGTATGTCTCCTTAGTTCTCTGGAAATTACGGGACGATCTCACTGCACATTTAGTTGTTATACCCGTTGCTTATACATCATAAAGGCATAGAGTATTGATTGCTCAGTAGCGTTTGCCGTAAGTAAAAACTCCCTAGCATCCAGTACCGTCCTACACGGAGTACATTTCACCGTCTCCAGCTGCAGCTGCCCGCTCATCTGGACAGCTGCAGCTGCCCGCTCAGCTGGACAGCTGCAGCTGCGAGTCTGACCAGCCATCCACTCACCGAGAGCCCCCAGACGATAGTTGAGGGTGACCACGACCACCTCGCCCCAGGCGGCCAGCATGTGACCCGGAAACAGGTTGGAGGCGCCGTGGCTAAAGTGGCCGCCGTGAAGATGCACCATCACTGCGTATGGCTCCTTGACGTTGCCGGAAACCTGCCGGCATGTTCAGTGGTGACATGTGAAGGGTGGTGGTAGTGGGGCGTTAAACTTCCCTCGGCGGTAGAGGGGGAGAGAGGGAGACGGAGAGGATTGAAAGAGAGGGATAGAGCGAGAGAGAGAGAGAAAAAAGAGAGAAGGAGGAAGGGGAGAGATGGGGAGAGAGAGAGACAGAGAGAGAGAGAGAGAGAGAGAGAGAGAGAGAGAGAGAGAGAGAGAGAGAGAGAGAGAGAGAGAGAAAGAGAGAGAGAGAGAGAGAGAGAGAGAGAGAGAGAGAGAGAGAGAGAGAGAGAGAGAGAGAGAGAGAGAGAGAGAGAGAGAGAGAGAGAGAGAGAGAGAGAGAGAGAGAGAGAGAGAGAGAGAGAGAGAGAGAGAGAGAGAGAGAGAGAGAGAGAGAGAGAGAGAGAGAGAGAGAGAGAGAGAGAGAGAGAGAACTAGCGGAATATGGTCATTTCACGATGGAACCGTGCAAATTATATTAGCGGGAAGTTGCGCCCTAGTCACCTCCCACCTCCGCCAGCACCAGGTCGTGCCTCAACACGGAACGGGCCGTGCCACCTAGGTGCGCCGGGGAGAACTACAGGTCGCATAGTGCCACCAGATGTCGCGCAAACACGACAGGCGCAGATAAATAGATTTTAGATCGTGGGTGATATATTGTAACAGCGTTGATTTCTACCATGCATGTATTTTAACAACTCACAGCGTGGGCGCAGGCACTGGAACCACAACGGCTACCACAACTGCACGTAAGTATGTCCGCATACGACTTATGTTTGGACTCTAGGCAACGCTGCCCAAGCGGCCTTTTCCGTTAGGACGCCGAGCGACGGAGTGCGCGCAGCAATTTTTTTTTGTTTACCGGTTGAAACCCGCGGAGAGTAGAGTGATAGCTTTAGCGGCGGCTACCGCCACCATGGGTCGACCAAGAAGGAACACCGGTGAGTTACCAGCTATCCGGCCTGTTAGTTACGCGCGGGCCCTTCGCACGAGGCAATCATGGCGTGCCCCTCTAACCGGCGGTCTAATTTTCGTCAGCCAATTAGTCTGCCAAGTTGCTTGAATACTGGCAGTTGGCACTTTTGTTCTGTTACTACCCTTCGCCCCATACTAATGTGGCCGCCCGTCTCAGACACTCAGTTGGCCCTCCGGGCGGTCACATACACCAGCTTGTAGCTTGGCCCTGAACTATGCCCTGCCCACTGGCATGTCATGCCATGCCAGCGCCACCTTCACAATCTTGCTCGGTTACATGCACCAGTGTCATCGGTTCGCACTAAACAATGCCCTAACCGCACACTGGCACGCCATCCCGAGGGCTTGCCCGACAAAGCCGGCCATACCCAGGGGTGGAGATTTGCCTAAATCCCAGGGGGTGCTTTTCTGTTTGATACTTTGGTTAACAAGCTGCTATGTTGGTTTTGCATTGTTTGTGGGGGTGCTTTGCGTTATGAAGGGGTGCTCGTGCACCCTCAAACCCCCTTTTCTCCACCCATGGCCATGCCTGACTGGCCTGCCTATTTACCTGGGCTGTCATGCTACGTCACCACTAGATCATCAATGCAGCATAGCAGCCGGCTTTCGTGCTTCCACAGAATGGCCCTATGCCAGCAGTGACCTGACACCCAGTCGGCCCGCTGCAGACCGGTGCAAGACGACACCCCGGATCAACGGCCGTCCGACCGCCGGCCACGGGCCCGTCGCGGCCTTGAGCTGACGCCACGCCGGATGAGTCACCCGGCCGCCCCCCGGTGCGGAGGAGGGTCAACTTTGGCGTCTTTCAGAAGAGCCCAGGAAGGGGCCAGGGGTCGAGGCCAGCCAATGCCAAAACACCGAACTATAGCTCCGCCCGGACTCACTTAGCAACCTTCACTGAGAGCTGTTTTGATTCCTTTTAAGCATATTAGGGGAATTGGTCTAAAACAACACCCTGATCATTTCTCCGAATATACCCCAAATACACTTTCTTTGAATATCACTCTGAAATTCTTCTAATATACCCTACACTGAGAACCTTTTTGATTCCTTTTGAGCATATTAGGGGTTTTGGTCTAAAACAACACCCTGATCATTTCTTCGAATATACCCAAACTATACCCTTGTTCTTTAAATAGCTCCCTTGAATTCTTCTAATATACCATAGTAAGTACCGAAGAGGAAAGGAATATGATTCCTGTTCTATTCCCTGCGATACCCACAGTACACTCCTTTTAACCTACCAAAATACCCTTACATCGAAACCTCTAGTATTCCTTCTAAGCGTATAAGGGGAATATTTTGCAAACTATACTCGCATTATACCACGTAACACTCCCGTATTATTCTGTGATTTCCATCACTGATCTCAATGTATTCTTGCATTAGACCCCACATAAACCCAGAAGGGAAAATAATAATGCCCTAGGTATATTCGTCGTAGAACTTGCTCAGAAACTGTCTCATTACTCTCAGCTCCCTCGTCCGATTTCCCTTTATATATCGTAACACATCCAAAACGAGGGTTAAGGTTCTATCCCCAGCAGGGCGCGTATGGCTGAATAGCCCAGCGGGGCGCGGGTTAGTGGTCAGCAACACGTCCAGGGAGCGACTGCCCGTCCTCCTCGCCCGCCCGGCCGGCCAGTCCCGGCCCGCCGACCGGTCACCGCCGGAGGCGCCGAGCGGCACAGGTACGGTATCTGACAGTAGCGGCAGAGACTGTACACTAGGGTATATTAGAAGAATTCAAGGGAGGAATTTAAAGAACGAGGGTATAGTTTGGGTATGTTCGAAGAAAATGATCAGGGTGTTGTTTTAGACCAAAACCCCTGATATGCTTAAAAGGAATCATTTGAGGAATCATTTGAGTATCTTAAGGGCATTCCGCCAGGAAAACGGCAGAGTTATAGGAGCATGACACACCATGATCAAAGGGAATAGAGAATCGTTTTGGTTTTCAGTGTTAACGCTAATGGTCATTTCACGATGGAACCGTGCAAATTATATTAGCGGGAAGTTGCGCCCTAGTCACCTCCCACCTCCGCCAGCACCAGGTCGTGCCTCAACACGGAACGGGCCGTGCCACCTACACTGTAAAAAATGTTTACACACTTCGTGTTATGTGGGCAAATCTCACTAACAAAAGGTGTGTAAAGTTAACACGCATTTCTGAGATAAGTGTGTTTACCAGAACACGCAATACGATGATGGCGTGTTTTGAAACTCACCTGTCAGGTTTCTTACTCACTTTTGATTACACACGTATGCCTTGTTACCGTGTTTTAAAACTCTCTTAGAGCGCTGACTTACTATCAAAATGTGTGCAGAATAACTAAGAAAAACATGAAGTTAGTAGTGTGGGCAAATCTCACTAACCAAAGGTGAGTAAACTTAACACGTATTTCTCGGACAAGCGTGTTTTCCAATTACACACATATACCTTATTACCGTGTTTTTAAACTCGTTTAGATACTTTCACTTACTAACAAAATATGTGTCGAATAACACACCTTTTGTCTTCGATATTTAACTCCCACGTTGCACTTTTACACACATTATGTTTCGAAACTTGTCGACATTTTATTCAAAACATGTAAACTATCAGACATATAGATATTTATTCACAATCGATGGCAACACAAATCGAATTCCTAAATCCAAACGTTTCGACAGCAGTGTGCCTTCGTCAGTGGCTAAATTAAAAATATATATAATATCAAAAACAATCGCTATAAGTCGTTCACACACAAGACATACAAGATACAAGATACACATACAAGATTATACAAGACACAAGACTTATAGCGATTGTTTTTGATATTATATATATTTTTAATTTAGCCACTGACGAAGGCACACTGCTGTCGAAACGTCTGGATTTAGGAATTCGATTTGTGTTGCCATCGATTGTGAATAAATATCTATTCAAAACATGTTCGCGTCACAATCTGAGCCGCCATGTCACAAACGAATCTGAGACGCCATGCATCAAACGAACAACCGACTTGGATGCCTGGAGCGAATGACTATAGCACACATTCTGAGCTGCAAATACAAACGAACGCCGCCTTGCCAGGACAGGTGTCCACCAGGAACTGAACAACATCGTCACGTAAACATTAAAAACGACACAGACGACAGGAACTGTGTCATTTTGAGAAAAAAAACGACACAGGAACTGAACTGAAACTGGAACAGTTTCAGTTATAACAGGAACTGAACAACATCGTCACGTACACATTCAAAACAACACGGACGACGTAAACATTCTGAGACGCACTGTATCAAAGGATGTCGTGTGTGTGTGTGTGAGGGGCTTATTCAGTCAGTTGTTTGATCTGCTGAATACGCTTCAGGGCGCGGTTTCCAACCACCACGCTGCCCCGGGCCTTCTCAAAAACCTGCTCAGACAGGAATGCGAGTGCATTTTTTGCGGTTTTTGTGGGCGGCTTTTGGTTATACACTGGGAAGGACGCCGCCCACAGCAGAAGGGCATCGCTGCGCGTCATTTCCACGTCCTCGACCACCCGCTGGCGCTCGACAACCAGTGTCAGAGAACCATTCGGGCTCTCCTCGAAGTGCGGCATCGTTTGGCTGCCAGCGGACCCGAATATCTCCTCTGGGTCCACCAGGAGATATTCCAGTAGCGAATCCACCTTGTCATCATCTGAAACAAACGGCAGTTACTTTTAGTTCCCAACCTTGCAAACAATACCTTGGTGTGAAATGTGAGGGTTCGGCGCATGGCAAAACGAATGGTTATCTCATTATTTCCGAACTAGAAGAAGTGGATGGATCATTCATTGCTAAATTATTCATGCCGCCTACCGAGGCTAAAAGACATGAAAAATCTGCGTTGCTTCTACCCGCGCCTGCCGATCGAGCGGCTCGTCAAAGGTAGGTATAAAGGCCTATAATGAAATGAAAAAGTACAATCATGAATGAAGAGCATAGTGGGATCAATGAGTGGAAGATAAGCGTATGTTGATTGAACCGTAGAAGAGATGTCCTTGAAATACATTTATTTTTGGTACCTATACTTTTCATATTTCGGCCATTCAACATACGGCTAACCTTCACTCAAATGTAAATCGTAATGAAAATAATGAAGAAAAAATAAAAATAATAAATAAAAAAATAAAAAATAATGAATAAAAATAATGAAGACAGTTAACCCTGAAAAGAGGCATGTTTAACCATGTGCATATGTTGTCTCACCTTCGCACTCAGTGTGCATCTGCACAGCGGTGAGGAAGTCGCACAATCGCTTCCGGTATTCCTGAAGACGGGAACCCTGTCCGCCGCTGATCCTCTCCAGCTCGTACCAGATCTGGAAACATTGTGGAATAATTTAACATGTGCGTGCGCGCCGTGTATCTGCGAGAGCGAGGGCGAGAGAGTGTGTGAGAGTGTGTGAGAGCAAGAGAGAGCGAAAGAGCGAGAGCGAGAGAGCGAGAGAGCGAGAGAGCGAGAGAGAGAGAGAGAGAGAGAGAGAGAGAGAGAGAGAGAGAGAGAGAGAGAGAGAGACAGGCAGACAGACAGACAGACAGACAGACAGACAGACAGACAGACAGACAGACAGACAGACAGACAGACAGACAGACAGACAGACAGACAGACAGACAGACAGACAGACAGACAGACAGACAGACAGACAGACAGACAGACAGACAGACAGACAGACAGACAGACAGACAGACAGACAGACAGACAGACAGACAGACAGACAGACAGACAGACAGACAGACAGACAGACAGACAGACAGACAGACAGACAGACAGACAGACAGACAGACAGACAGACAGACAGACAGACAGACAGACAGACAGACAGACAGACAGACAGACAGACAGACAGACAGACAGACAGACAGACAGACAGACAGACAGACAGACAGACAGACAGACAGACAGACAGACAGACAGACAGACAGACAGACAGACAGACAGACAGACAGACAGACAGACAGACAGACAGACAGACAGACAGACAGACAGACAGACAGACAGACAGACAGACAGACAGACAGACAGACAGACAGACAGACAGACAGACAGACAGACAGACAGACAGACAGACAGACAGACAGACAGACAGACAGACAGACAGACAGACAGACAGACAGACAGACAGACAGACAGACAGACAGACAGACAGACAGACAGACAGACAGACAGACAGACAGACAGACAGACAGACAGACAGACAGACAGACAGACAGACAGACAGACAGACAGACAGACAGACAGACAGACAGACAGACAGACAGACAGACAGACAGACAGACAGACAGACAGACAGACAGACAGACAGACAGACAGACAGACAGACAGACAGACAGACAGACAGACAGACAGACAGACAGACAGACAGACAGACAGACAGACAGACAGACAGACAGACAGACAGACAGACAGACAGACAGACAGACAGACAGACAGACAGACAGACAGACAGACAGACAGACAGACAGACAGACAGACAGACAGACAGACAGACAGACAGACAGACAGACAGACAGACAGACAGACAGACAGACAGACAGACAGACAGACAGACAGACAGACAGACAGACAGACAGACAGACAGACAGACAGACAGACAGACAGACAGACAGACAGACAGACAGACAGACAGACAGACAGACAGACAGACAGACAGACAGACAGACAGACAGACAGACAGACAGACAGACAGACAGACAGACAGACAGACAGACAGACAGACAGACAGACAGACAGACAGACAGACAGACAGACAGACAGACAGACAGACAGACAGACAGACAGACAGACAGACAGACAGACAGACAGACAGACAGACAGACAGACAGACAGACAGACAGACAGACAGACAGACAGACAGACAGACAGACAGACAGACAGACAGACAGACAGACAGACAGACAGACAGACAGACAGACAGACAGACAGACAGACAGACAGACAGACAGACAGACAGACAGACAGACAGACAGACAGACAGACAGACAGACAGACAGACAGACAGACAGACAGACAGACAGACAGACAGACAGACAGACAGACAGACAGACAGACAGACAGACAGACAGACAGACAGACAGACAGACAGACAGACAGACAGACAGACAGACAGACAGACAGACAGACAGACAGACAGACAGACAGACAGACAGACAGACAGACAGACAGACAGACAGACAGACAGACAGACAGACAGACAGACAGACAGACAGACAGACAGACAGACAGACAGACAGACAGACAGACAGACAGACAGACAGACAGACAGACAGACAGACAGACAGACAGACAGACAGACAGACAGACAGACAGACAGACAGACAGACAGACAGACAGACAGACAGACAGACAGACAGACAGACAGACAGACAGACAGACAGACAGACAGACAGACAGACAGACAGACAGACAGACAGACAGACAGACAGACAGACAGACAGACAGACAGACAGACAGACAGACAGACAGACAGACAGACAGACAGACAGACAGACAGACAGACAGACAGACAGACAGACAGACAGACAGACAGACAGACAGACAGACAGACAGACAGACAGACAGACAGATCATGCAAAAGCCAAGATTAAAACTTAACCCCTGCCTCATCTCAGCATCGGAACAATTTCGGGATAGTATTATTGCAGGTATTATTGCAAATTCAATCGAGTCAGGTACCGATGAAGGTTCCCCGGCGAAATATTACTCTACAAGACTGCCTCCTTGACTCCTTCTTACAAGACTCCTTCTTGCCTCCTATAACTTACCTCTTGGTGATTCTTCATCATGGGGTACATGTGCAGGAACTTCTTCATTGGCGTCGAGAGAGCCACGGCGTGTCGACGGCGGTCCGCGAATGTCAAGTCTCGCAGCGCTTCCCGCTCTTCCTCGGTTAGTCCCTCTTGCCTTAGCCGATTCCTGTGAACTTGCATGTCCTCCTCTGGTTCCGGCGGGAGGTAGTCTGTAAAAATGGCAGCTTTTGAGTGTTTTATTTTTGAAGCAAGAAACGGCCTTTAACACGCGGCCCGCTGGGGAGAGGGGGGGGGGGCGAAACGCCCCCATGTTTTCCTGGAATAACTCCGAAATGTGAAGAGCTACCGACTTGTAATTTGGCATACCCCACCAGACATCAATTTTACATCTTTAAAACAAAATTTAAGATCCTAGCTTCGGGTCGCCAGGGGAGTACAGTGACGTCATCTTTCGCTAATTTTGACCAAAAATAACCCATTGAGCCATCCCGAATGGGACCCATATGGGCTGTAAGTTGGCGAACTGGGCATAGGTGAGCATGGACCACAGGTTGCCGTGTCATGGGCGTCCAGGGTATTTTTTAAACGGGAGAGCCCTTGGCAACGCACGTGCTGCACAACACCCCTGACACGCACCCCATTCGCCAGCTCGATCGGGCAGCGTTTGCCGCATGCCGATCGGCCGTCGGGGCGCCGAGCTACGGGCCCGGGAAGCGACCCCTGCCGGCCTCATTTTGGCGTTTTGACGACGCGTTGCCTTCATTTTCCCATGTTGAGGCAATGGGAGAAAATGCATTTTTTCCAGCGCGTGCCACGCACCTCCCCGGGCCCGCATCGACTCGAAACGACCACGGTGCACCGGTTCGCAGCGTCACCTCGGCGCCGTGCAAATTTCAGGCTCCTACCCCCAGCCGTTTAGCCCCGGCGCGTGAGCAAATGCACCCACTGCACAGCGTGATGGGGCCGGGTCGGGTCGGGTCGGGCCGGGCCGGGTCGCGAATACTCAGATTTTCCCATTAATCTCAAAAGAACTCGCTCGTTCGCTGCGCTCACTCGCTCGTAATCATACCTTGATATCCCTCGAAGTTTTCGTAGCGTCTGGACTTCTTCGCCTTCTTCGCCGCTGTCGCCTGGGCCGGCCGCTTGAATGATCCCATGACACCCGGGTCCGGTCGTTTATAGTTCCTCACACGCCATTGAATCTTGTTTTTTACTTGCTCCTGGAGAGAAAATGGGAGAATCCTATGTAATCACTAAATTACCAGTAAACCGCCGTGTTCGGCGAGGGACGGGCGAGCGAAATAACATAAACAAAATTATTTTCACTTTCATCCAGAGAACCATCTTTTGCCGACTTTATCATTTTAATGTCGTTTAACATGTAAAATCATCGAGTCCCTAAATAAATTTGCGATATAATCATATCCACCGACCACCACCCAGAGGCACCATGACATCCTACATCCATGCGCTTTTCATAAATTAAATTCTACATCCATGCGCTTTTCTAATTCATGTCATTCGTGCGCTTACCAGTGCCTGCCTTGAAGTCAAGCCGTGCAGCAGAGCTGGCCACTGCTCGAGCGCCCGGTCCGCTAGATCCATATAGCGGTTATGGGTCATGGTGAGAGATCTGCAAGAGTATGACGCTACTTGAAAAAGATACGAGACATCCAGGTGTTTAGGGATTGGTTTATGAGAAAAGTATTCATTAATATGATAGAGTGGGATAATTCGAATAGAGTGCGGTGATTTAACCCTCGCCGTACCAAGTGCTTTCTTACACCTTCCCCACACCAGGGGGGGGGGGGGGTTGGTACGACCCCCCCTCGCAATTTCGCTCCTGGTGGAGCTAGAGCGTCGCGGAAAAAACGAGCGTGTTGCTCGTCACGAGACGCAGCGACTGGTACCCATAAACAAGGTCAAAGGTCAACCGGTGACCTCTGAGGTCGGTCAATGACCTCCAGACATGGTCCAGACATGGTCTCAGTTTTTCGTCAATAACTTCTCGAAAAATTGTCGTAGAGCCAAAATTCAAACGCCATCGTGTCTGCCTTGAAGAGACGCATCGAATGGTGTACTTTGTGTTAAGAAATGCTTAACTTTTAAGTTCACCTTAAGTTGTGACCTTAAGAGGTCAGGTCAGGTCAGGTCATTGACCCAGGCAGGTCATGTTGCATATCCTCTGATCCGGCTGATCACTCTGAACACAATGGTACCTGTCTCGACTCGCTAGGACGTTTAGGTTAGGAGTTATTGACGAAAAACGAAATTTGACCTCTATGACGTCATAATGACGTCACTAACTTTTCCCAGGCCACTACAATGTGTGAGCAGGTTGAAAACCCTGAATAACACGTCAGCACTTAATTTCAAGAGGATTGAATCCCTTTTCGATAGAAAATTCGCGGTTTCATTTTTTCCCCCATTGACTTATAATGGGGAGGTCACGTGACTGACCTGACCTCTGGTGACCGGAAGTGAAAATCCGAAATATACAAAATGTAGATACGCCTAGGGCAATCACACACTGAAAGTTTCATTTCCTTCCGAAAGTCCTTCTCGAGTTGACAGCGATTTGAATTTAGCCGTGCAGAGGTCAGAGAATGACGTCACAGGTCAGTGACTTGACCTGACCTGAAATTGATTCTGGCACTGAAAGGTCCGGCTTGGATGAAAGGTTACACTTCCCAAATTTCAGCTTTCTATCCCTACGCGTTCTCCAGCAATCCTGGAAAAAAACCGTCTGGGGGTGGCACCAACCCCCCCCCCCCTGGTACGGCGAGGGTTAAACATAGTCGGTTCAATAGTTTGATCTTATTCATCGTTGGAAATGGTCGCCAGGGAATGATGACCATTTCTGTCGCCCCCCCCCCCCCCCTGCACGGACGAATGTGGCAAAACAAGTAAATCTAACTGAAATATCGACTCATTCCGACCTAAATGAGTCAATACCGAAACTCTGGCTAACACTCAAGCGAGCGGCAGCATTATGCTTACCCGTTTGTGAGCTTTTCGTGGTTGACGATCACTCCTGTCAACTCACTCCACTCGGTCCGAGTAAGTGGCTGCTTCTCGTTGCTTCGCAGTTTCGCCCGCAGCGCCGGTCGCAACTGGCTGTCGTCGAAGGGACCCACCGGCACAGTGTCCTTTCTGTGAAATACAAGCAGAACGGTGTGAAATAGAAATATGAAATTGCGTCAAATTGCGTCCGAAATCGCCAGCATACGCTAGGGGACGTAGGGAGTAACAAGCTGTCAAACAAGTATTCATGACGTTCAGTGGATTCCTGGCATCACCTACATTGGGTGACCAAAAATGCGTGCAAAACAGTTAATATTTGCTACCGATTAACTGCAAGTAAAGCTCGGCCAGTGCTGCCAAATCCTATTCACGCCACTTGGTAAGATCGGGCCCAGGTCAGTGTAATAAAGGCATCGAACGCGAAAAATCGTGTCGCGGCGTCTGTGACACAGTGGACGGCGAGCGGCCGTCGGTAGCTGACGCCTTGGCGGTCAGCCGGGCGGTGACGTCACACAAAGTGGGGAGGGACCGGTGACGTGAGGCGTCACACAACTGGGATGGCCGCACGCACAGGTAGACATATTATGGGAGTTTCAAAGCATCGATAACCTTACACAGTAAGGTATTTCAAAATAATAACTTAAAAAATAATGCTGCTCGGGGCTATCCTGGTACTCCTGATTACGGCGAATGCATATGCAATTCTTTAAAGATCACCATTATGCCAGCAGTTGATTTTACAAATAACAATTAAACATGCTCACCTAGACAATGCAGGCGAAGTGGGTTTGGCGATGACGGCACTGTCCAGTGTCACGCCCTGTGAGGTCGATGGCTCTGCTGTCTGGCTCTGGCTTTGCTCTGCTGTCTGAAGTACTGAGCCGGCGTTCTCTTTTGATCCGACAACCGTGGACTCTGCAGACGCTGTCTCGTGTTCCACTTGCGCTACGCCAACTGTTGCCTCTGTGCCGGTGGACGACTTCACTTCCACTGAATTGTCCTGCAAACTGTTAAAACCTCTGTCAGATTGAGTTTCAAAACGGAGTAACTGCAAACAGTTTTGGTAGCTGTGGTGTATCGTGCTGGCGCTGGTCGCGCTGGCGCGCAGTGCGCCGGTCACGCACTGTGCGCCGGTCACGTGACCTGCGCGGTGCCCGCGGCGGTGGACGAGCGGTGGACAGGGAGCCGCCGCCGCGGTGGCGGGGAGTCTGTGGCCGGTCGGGGCCGAGAGTGGATTGGAGCCCGAGCTGGGTGAACTTGCTTATTATTTTATCTTTACTTTTCGTTGTGTGTGCCAATACACATCAGTAGCATACGTTTAAAGTACCACTGTTCAATAACTGGAATGCCTCTCCAGCCGCGGTAAAAGGCATTCAAGTTTGAGCATAGCACGTATTCACAGACACCCTCAAAGGCTTCAAAATCTTAGACTTCAAAGTTGATCAAAGCCTTATCAAACGCTTATCTCTGATCCAATTATTAATGTTTATAACACGTTATCTGTTCAAATAAGAAATCGTAACAATATAAATAGCTGTTAACGTACCTGACCAGGGAGTTGTGGTTGCTGTCCAGAATGACGACTGATGAAAGGGTCCTCACGCGGGGACGAGAGATAGTAATCTTGTCTTTATCCTCCAGCCAGGTCCAACACGACCACTCTTCATCGTATATCTCCAGCTTACATTCATCCTGCCGAAAAAATGGTGGTGTGTTACAAGATCATCCAGCATTAGTTATGAGTTCAAGTAGTTGGGATGGTTGCTGTCTCACAAGAACATCAGTTACACATGTGAAAACATCTATAGTTTCTCCATCTCAGGCATTTAAATTCAATGTATATATTGGTAAAACTAAAGACAAGTATATCAATCGGAGCAAAAATCGCCTAAACGCGTTTCGACCTATCGGTCGTCTTTTTTGCATCTGTGTACTTACCACATCCAGTGTGAGAAAAGTGATTTTGCGACCGTTTTAAGAACAAATTTCCTCTCACTGGCAGAACAAAATTTTGTGAATTTTGGAGCAAACTGATTTAAAACGAACTTTGAAATATTTGTTGACACAAAGGAACGTTCAATCACATACCAGGCATCAGCAGTTGGTTGATTGCTGCGTCCTGCGTGTGTTTTTAGAAGTTTTTGTTGTGAAAATATGCAGCAGGAGACTAAAAATTTCTGTTTTTAATAGCGAAAAGGTCCACAGAACAAAATTTCTAAGTTCCAAAAAAACGGAGAAGCAGGTCACTTTTCTGACACTGACCATATCTGCACCTACTGAAGACGACCGATAGGTCGAAACGCGTTTAGGTGATTTTTGTTCCGATCGATATATTTAAATTCAATCTTGACTGACTGGAAGGATGGTCCGAATCAGGGCCGGAACAGTTCGTGAACTGAACTTAGTGAATTGAACTTTTTTGAACTGAACAAAGCACTTGACGCCGTTCACTGTGAACTGAACTGTCCTGAACTGTCCGTCAACACGAAACGCAGGTGATTTGAACTATGGGCGAGAAAATTTTGAAAATTTGGGTTCAAAATGTGCACAATGAATGTCCCCGAAAAGTCAAAAAGTTTCAGCTCTCTAGCTCTTATCGTTTAGCGTTGAGATAAGAAAAACCTCATGGGGGCCGATTCGGCCCCCCCCCCCCACCAGTAATAGGGTTAAACATTGATTTAGAGCGACATTCCTGTATAGTACACACAAGCACATACAATTTAACACCATCCTACCTGTAAGAGTCCGAAGAAAGTCCGTATCTTCGACCGGAGATCTTTCACGGAGTCGTGCTCTATCACCCGGGACACCCCTTCGTGTGTCACGAGCGTCTTCATCGTTCACTGCAAGAGCATATCAGCATCGGTCAAATATCTTCAGAAATAGCATGCAAAAGCCACAACACATCATCATCAGATGCATCATTTAGATAGAGCTGTTCACTCCTTTTAACCACAGTGAATATCTCACCATCATGGGGACTTTGACTGGTGACGAGGGGTTTGAAAGGGAGCAAGTCAGAATTGTAATATTAATATAAATTACATCTCCTTATATGGGCATTGCTCCACCCATTTTTGTGATGTCATATCTTAATTTTGATCAATCCATGTTTGGACTGCTTCCCTGCAGTTTGCCCAACTGACAGGCTTCGGTGTCACCCATGGGTGGAGTTTCTCAAACAAGTTGGTGGGATGAAAATCTTAGGTAAAACCAAAATTGAACCAATGCTGATTTCCAACTAGAATATCAGGGGTACCAACAACCAAACTGATATTCTGGGTGGAGAGAAATTCCACAAAAATACTAAGTTAGAAGCAACCAACATCATAGTTAATATGAAACAAAAATTACAAGCTCCAGAGGCCTTGCTCCAGATACCAAACCAGTTGAGCACACTGTGGTTATTCCGTGCCATATACTATATGTAGAAACGTTTCAGTATATAGAAACAATGTTCCATAGATAGAAACGCTGAGGTGATCATTGTTCCAAATATGGAATAGGGTTTCTGTATGTGGAAACGGAAGGTGCGTGCTCGCCTGTTATTTTAAGTTTTGGAAAAATTGACACCGCATTTCCATCTGCAGTGCTTCCTTGATGCCAATATAAATAGATGGCAGTCCACCATCTAGACAGTTATAACACATCTTGCTTTGAAATAAATCACCCAGAAAGATTGGCGTTTCTGAGCATTTCCAGTTTTGGAACAGTACCTACCTAGTGTTTCTATATTTCAGTCGGGGAAACTATGGTAAGATCTGCTATTTTTAGCAGTCTGCTATTTTTAGCAGAAATCTGCTAAAAATGGGTTTGGGTACGCATGTGACGTCATCGTACCCAAATATAGCAGATTTGGGTACGGCCCCATACAAAAGCAGATCTGCACCCTAATTGAAGCAAATGCGCATCAAATGCCTGGCAGATTCATGATTAGAATAGTGCTAAGAATGTCCTCTGATATTTTTGTTCAGATCCGACTATTTTCAAATACCTAATGAATTTGAAAATAGTTGGATCTGAACAAAAATAGCAGAGATCACTCTCAGCACTATTCTAATCATGAATCTGCCAGGCATTTGATGCGCATTTGCTTCAATTAGGGTGCAGATCTGCTTTTGTATGGGGCCGTACCCAAATCTGCTATATTTGGGTACGATGACGTCACATGCGTACCCATTTTTAGCAGATTTCTGCTATAAATAGCAGACTGCTAAAAATAGCAGATTTTACCATAGTTTCCCCGACTGATTTAGGAATGTTTCAAATAAAGGAACGTTTCTATAAAACCAGAAGGCCAGTCCCATTCCTGGCTGAGTGGTCTAAAGCGCCAGAGTTCAACGCTGGAACTGGTGGTGAGAGCCCGGTTCAAGCCCCAGTGCAGGTGTGAGCGGTAACATTTGGCCCCTACGTGTAATGGCGTGCATGTATGTGGCAGGGGCCGCACGAAGACCAGAGAGCATGAGTGGGCGGAGGGGACCGTGTCCAGTCTACCGGGCACGTTAAACTTTCAGACGAAATTCTGCCATAGCACTGGAATTGCGTGATCGGTGGTGGGTTCACTGTTCAGAGACAGGCACAACAAGCTATGCTTAGTGTGGACTCGGATCCCTCAAGCCACCCAATCAAACATTTGGACTAAATTTATAAAAAAAAAATATGGAACGGAATTATCATAGTGTGCCCGACTGAAACCACACACATAAATTATAACTTCTCACGTGTCAATTGCTTGGCAAATGTGGCGCACACTAGACTTCCTTGCAAAACACTAGGTAGGCTCCAAGGACGCCCAGCATTACTAGCATATACACTCTAGCTATAGCCTCTAAGTAAGCTTTGAAACCATAAAATTGACTATTATTAATCAATATCTTCAAATTATGCACACACTGCCTAGCTTCATAGACCTTCGGAATCAGCCAAGGTAAACACTGAATCCGCGTGGCCAGCGTTACCCCTGTTTTTTTTTGTTTCCCCAGATTCCCACACAAATTTCCCTATTTCTGGCACTCATTTCCCTAGTGCACAAGTCCAAATGTCAATGTCCCTGATTTAGCAGAGCAAGGGCCGGCGCCACAGGGGGGGGGGGGCAGGGGGAAGCCGCCCATCCACCAGTTGCCAGCCGGGCCCTTTAAAAAATTGCAGGAACATGCATTTTTGCATAATTTGGGCCCCTCTCGAAAAAATATTGAGCCAAATCCGAGGAGTTTTCAGATTTTGTGTATAGGTTACCTTGGGCCTTTCCGCATGGGCCCTTTATCGGGACAAGCTGCCCCCGCAGTCCGAAATCTGTGGCGCCGGCCCTGCGGCAGCTTGCTTGATTTTACCCCATGGAGCAAGCATATCCCGAAGAATCGGCCAGCGGGTGAATTACTACCCAAGATGAGGGTTGCTCAGGATTTTCTTGTAGTAAAATCCTTCGGGATGTTCGCTCTGGGGTCAAATCAAGCAAGGCCTTCTAAATCAGGGACATTTGGACTAAATTTTATATGCAAATGAGCATCTAGGGAAATGAGTGCCCGAAATAGGGAAATTTGTGTGGAAATCTGGGGAAACCAGCAAAATACCAGCGGTAACGCTGTAATGGCAAGGCCATATAACTCCGACCTTGATTTCATATTTTCACGTGAATTTCGGCATTTATCCATTTATGAAGTGGATTGCTTTGTATTTTAAGTGTGGGTCATGGAGCATGATCACATGTGATTACTTTTCCCCTAAATAAGCTGTGCGTGGTTCTAACAATTTTTTATGTTAGATTGAGATTGGTTGCAGGTCAGTCAGGCTGAGGCACATTGTGGTACCTAGGTAGTTTCGTTCCATCTATGGAAATGCTTCTATTCTTGGAAACATTTCTAAATATGAAAAGTTTTTGATCCATAAATGGAGACTTGCATCGTGCATTGTCATAAGTGGAAACTCTGAACTTCCAGGTGATTTATTTCCAAGCAAAATGTGTAATGTAACTGGATGGCTGATTGCCATCTATTGGCATCAGAAAATAAAGAGGGTTAAAATGTGGAGTGAATTTTGTCAAAGTTAAAAATATTTGTGAAGCCCAAGTCAGTTAAGTATCAGCCCAAACCAGGTTTGGGCTATCATATTTGAAAGGAAACATTTATGGAAGTGTTCCGTCATTCATCCCAGTTTCGCTCCATCTGCAATCACAACCTAAAATTTTATATCACAGGCTGGCATGGAAAAATCTAACCATGGATTTTGACCCACCAACCATGGTACCTACCCAAGGGCGTCGCCACAGGGGTGTGACAGAGGGGATCTCATCCCCTCCACTTTTTAAAACTTTAACATTACGCCTATGGCGTTGCATGGAAGACTTGAAATGGTCCTCGTCCCCTCCAAAATGGTCAATGTCCCCTCCAGTCGTCACACCGTGGAGTGGCCCCTGTACCTACCTATCTGTCGTAGATTCAAATGTTAGCTTTTCATTTTTAGAAACAGTGTTGTGCATAGTTTTGCAAGAACTTGCGTAGCTCGTCAAGGAGGTGAGCGTGCACCTTCCGTTTCCAAATATAAAAATGCAGCATGTCCATATTTGGTACAATGCTCGCCTCAGCTCTTTATGCCCATCAACTTGTTTTGAAAACTATAAGGTACCTCTGACACTAAACTATACCCATTGTTATTGCTCACCTCAGTCTAAAATGGTTGTTCTATCATGAGTAGCCAGTCTGCAAAACATGGCAGGATTTGACGAGATCTCATCGGAGCAGTCATCATGGATCAGGGCAAAAACTGGGGCAGGTTTTAGGAATGTTGGGGCAGAAGTTGAAAAATTGGGACAGAAATACTTTGCTCAGCTCCTCACCACCTTCCACATCATTATAGAGTTAAATCATTTGCATTATTAGGGGCAGGAATTGTGCTGCCCTGAGTCTCAGCATTCTGAGTATTTTGTCTGCCCTGAAAATCTTGTCAAGCTCCCTGCCACATTTTGCAGACTGGATGAGTAGGAGGAAATAAATATTTTACCTGTGACTGGAGAACATAACCAATTTATCATCTATATGTGCAATTAATGTGCTGTACATGGCAAATTGTCTATTGACACTGCCATTCACATGCATGCCTTCCTTGACCGTTGATATGTTTCATAGTTATATAATCGTAATGCACAATGAATACAAATACATGTAATGCATGTGAAAATCACACAGTTTCATTAGACAATAGGTATTTTATCATATTTCTTCACTTACCATTTGAGACACCACTTCGCAAACAGGCCTCAGATGAATGCGGCGGAGTCGCGCGCGCGATCCGCACAAAATGGCGACATTGTTGCAGTAACTTAGCTGCGTGTAATGGTTTACTAGCATAATACGTGTAATGTTACTGATCGGCACGCTGAAGGCAAGTTTGATAACACGTCTCTCGATTTTTGAGCCGGGGTTGTCTTAAACACGCGTATGTGTTTAATAACTCACATCGCAGCACACACTTTATCTTTGTTTTGAAGCACATCAACGAGTTAATCAAATGTATCCGTGTGGTGATTGCAACACCCCGTGTTTCAGAACTCGTTAAATCATTTTCTTCCTGCAGGTTACACTCTTATAACACATATATGTGTTATGACACTAGCGTTATGTTGAATAAATAACTAATGTGTTAGTAAACATTTTTTACAGTGTAGGTGCGCCGGGGAGAACTACAGGTCGCATAGTGCCACCAGATGTCGCGCAAACACGACAGGCGCAGATAAATAGATTTTAGATCGTGGGTGATATATTGTAACAGCGTTGATTTCTACCATGCATGTATTTTAACAACTCACAGCGTGGGCGCAGGCACTGGAACCACAACGGCTACCACAACTGCACGTAAGTATGTCCGCATACGACTTATGTTTGGACTCTAGGCAACGCTGCCCAAGCGGCCTTTTCCGTTAGGACGCCGAGCGACGGAGTGCGCGCAGAAATTTTTTTTTGTCTCCCTCTGTTCTTTCTAGGGCGTCTTTCAGAAGAGCCCAGGAAGGGGCCAGGGGTCGAGGCCAGCCAATGCCAAAACACCGAACTATAGCTCCGCCCGGACTCACTTAGCAACCTTAACGCTAATGACACAATTAACCCGCGCACCGACGGGGGGGGGGCGGATATCCGCCCCCCCTGAGGTTTTTCGCGAATAGCGGGAAAACCGCGGCGCGTAGCGCCGCAAAATTCGGTATGACTATAACCTCATCAATTTTACACATGGTGAGCAAGTTTGAACCTCCTACCTTTTAAGATCAGGTCACCAGGTCACTTTGAATAACCCAACCTCAAGTCACTTTTTTGCAACTTTGTCACCGTGCCAGAGCTACAGTAGATGTCGGAGGCCTTTGAAAGTCGCAGGATATTATAAGGTCATTAGTAGCTACAATTTGTATATCTCGGAATTTTGATATCGGTGACCTAAGGTCAGGTCAATTTCGCGACCTCCTCATTATAAGTCAATGGGGGAAAATCAACTCCCTTTTTTACCACTAAAACGGGTCGGAATGGCCCCATATACCATACATGACTTCATATACGATCAACCTTCACTACCTTGAGGTCTGTTTTGCTGTTGGGCAGCTGTGAGGTCATGTGACGTCATCAAAGGTCACCAAAGGTTTTTGGCCAATAACTCCGTACAGGAACAAGATACAGACGCGTGGATGGTCTCATTGTGTTCAGCTCGTCAAGACGCAACGAATGATATACATGATGACCTCGAGGTCACGTGACCTGAGGTCAACCTTTGACCTTGACCTTTCGAGGTCAACATATATATCATTCGATGCGGATTGACGAGAGTATCACGATGATGCCCTTAGTTTGTTCCTATCTTGATTAATTCGAAAGTTATTCGAGAAAAACTCTCTCCATATCTAGCGCCGCCATTTTGACTTTTTCGACCCCTGTGACGTCATCTTTGACCTGACCTGAAAATGACCTTAGTAAAAATTGTAGATCTTGGCCGTGCGTATCCGATGCCGTTTACCGCTTGTCGCTATCTTGCTTCGTTCTCGAGATCTCAGGGGGGGCGGTCATCCGCCCCCCCCGTCGGTGCGAAGTTGGCGCAGACCCCCGTCGGTGCGCGGGTTAATAGAGACGATACATTGGCTGATTGCCAGTCATCTATTGCGATAGATATGATACGAGCCTTTCTGATAATTAGGCCAGCTTGAATTGATTACATAACCCATTTCATTTAGCGAGACCGCTATTGGGTCATTGGCATAAAACAAGTAGTGAACAGCGAAAATATCTTACGGCTACAACAGTGAGGTTGGGCTTCATCGACAGCAACCTTTTATCCATAAAAATTTGATGTGTCGTCAGTCCAGGTGGCTCAATCAGTTTACGTTTTCGCCATGCACTCCGACATATTAGTTGTGTGGGCTTTGTTTCCGTGGGTTCTGTAAGTGCACTGCTACTGTAATAAAGTAGCAACTATTGTTGCCTGTGATACACAGGTGTAATCGATATAATCAAGCGCGCAGTTGGTTTTCTCCCACGAACCCTCTTAGACAGCCTTGTCTACTGTCCTGCTAGTTTCAGAATAAAACGTAAAACTACTTAATTTTTGTGCTGCAAAGGCGTGTGCCTGCGTTGAGCTATCCTGCTCCTCGACAATTCTTTGAGAACAGCCACACATGTCGCTGACACCATCGATATTGGATCGATCGACAGCCTCGCTCGGTGAAGCCAGTATTCAAACAGATAGGTGAACGGCACTCAAAGAGCTGGTTGGATTGGCGCTAAGAGGTATCCACTTTCCTAAGCTGTTGTTCAGTGTGGAGCAAAGAACAAGCAGGAGTAAAACGTTCAGTCGGACATAATTAGATAATTCGACGGTTTTAGGATATCTCCTCGACGCTGGAAACATTACATTGGAGGCGTGCAAATCGTATTAAGGCATTGTTACGGAGCGAGCGAAGCGAGCGGAGTCTTTAAAGGTCGTTCTCCACGGTACATGTTTTGCGTAGAATACGTAGAATAACGTAGAATAACGTTATGTTTTACGTAGAATAACGGAAATTTCTGAGTATGAGCGGCCGGCCGGCCGGCCGGCCGGCCGTGGTCACGATTCTGCGACGCTTATATCTCAGCAACCACTTGACCGATTTACACGCGGTAATTTTTGTAGGGTAGCTTCATTCCTTCTACCAAGTATTGGACTATTCCCGATGCATGTGGGTGACCCCTTATGCACGTGCCACGTGCAAAACGAAGAGGTGTCACTTTTGTAATTGTTGCAATATCTCGGTAACTCCTTGGCCGATTGCGCTGTAACTTGGCATGTAGGTAGGCACCCACTAGGCAATGCATATCCATGTGCCAGTATTGGGGTGCTGCTGCACGTGCGCACGCGCAGGGGTCGATTCCAGATCTCGAGAACGGCTGGACCGATGGCGCTCAAATTTGGCACATGGTTAGGGACCGGTTAGTAAGGTGCCATGCAAAAGTCAGTTGGGACCCATTTTGCACGTGCGCACGTGCAGGGTGCCGCTTCCAGATCTCGAGAACGGCTGGGCCGATTGTGCTCAAATTTGGCACATCGCTAGAGACCGGTTAGTAGGGTGCTGTGCACAAGTCAGCTGGAGGTACCCCCTCCAAATTTCGCACGTGCAAGGCCCACCCTCTCGCTCGCTCCGTTAGTCGCCCCAAAAGGCGTTATACTGGTTTTATGCGTGATTAAGCCCCCAACTAAAGTGATGCGTGCTGCGAACAAACTTCAAACACCTTTGCTCTGTTTGTTTTTTTATACCTATATAAAATTTCTATAAATGCAAAACTCAGCAAAGTCACTTCCATAAGCAAATAATTGGAATTTGGTGAGACTGGGCAGGTGACAAATGTGGGCGGATGACAGTGTCGTCATTGCATTGCCGCAGATGCATCACTTGCGTATTGGTGCATGCATTTTCATGTATACAGCTTTGTACGTATCTAGAACGGATAGAATTTTAGATGTTTTATTCAGGAATCAATAGTGCTAGAGTAGAAGCTTTTTTTCTCATGTGACGGCTCGGAAGTGGAGATATCTATGACCTCATGGCTACTTTCCTGGATAACCACGTCGTTAATCCGCTTACCCGAAGAGAGCTTCTTCTTTCATACGAAGGGCGAAAAAATGTGTACACACACCTGACTTAGCCATTGTTCTGAACGGTGTAACTGAAGATGTTTCTTCACCCGCCTTATGAGTGCATGAAACGTCCTCGAAGGAGTTAAGGCGCCCAAATTCACTCACCTGTGGCGTGTACACGTTCAGATAGAGGCAATCCTCATCCACCTCCCGGACCCCGCGTCCCGGGCCGACGTACTTGGCCGGCTGGGGGCACGCTGGGCCGAAATCCAGTGCCTGCAATCGCTGCCAGCCGGGGTGCGCCCGCGGCGGCTGCGACAGGGCAGGTCAGGGCAGGTCAGGTCAGTGGTTATGGTCGTACCTATGCTACAGTCATAGTGACACAATATGTGTAGTGTACGCGTCCTACAGGTAACATTTCATTCATCAACGCACAAACTGAATAAATCTATTCCAAATATTAGACGTGGTCAATAGGAACCGGTCAGTGGAAATAATCGCAATCAGCAAATCCAATCACCAATCAGCAATCAATTCCTCTTCCAGCCAACCATTGATCATTCAGTGATCAAAGATCAGCAACCAACCAACGAGCGCTATCCATTTTCTTTGATAGATATCATATATTCTGGCGAATGTGATGGGCTTCCATAATGTCATGCTCGTTTTTCAGTTTTTGTTTCGCAGTTAATCTAGCTTTCAGTGATGTGGTGCATGAACTTTGAACCAGGTATAACATGATATCCGTAAATGTGAAACTTGACTGTGAAATATGCCAGTCAATATTGGTAAGCTACCAAACTTTTTGGGATACAGTGCAGCATGATAAGCAAATAATTGTGACCTCATATTAACCGAATAGTCAGCTGATTGACTCACGGGTGTGACACCGTTACGCACAAATAATAATGACCATGATCGGCACGGTGGGGTCACTTTCATTTGGAGACCTTGCCCGTAGTTTATTAGTACCATGGAGCGGGGACCCCGACCAAAAACAGAAATATTTACAGCTGTAATACGGAAACATAATTATTGGACGGGGAAAGGGGGGGGGGGGTCCAAACCCTCACGAAGGCTCGGTGGTGAGCCCATTGACAGGAACAATTAGTGCAGGGGGCGTTATCCCCTCCCCTCCCCCCCCCCAGGGAGGTTGAGGTCTAGCGAGCCGATTTTCAAAATTCAAACACCTATATAGGCCTCTTTCTGGTCTAAAATAATATTAAATGGATTTGCGTTGTGAGGATAAGCTTCTTGAAGCTGCACCTAATCTTTTCAGTCAGGGATTTTAGTACAAGTGCGAACTGAATGCCGGAACAGCTGTGACAGTAGCGCCGTCAAATATTCCTTCCACCTGTCCATTGTCACTTCTCACGCTCCGACACCAGCTGCGTGCTATGTTCAATAGGTCGGCAATGTGTTATATGCCAGGTACTAACATCAGCCAGGACAGGAACTATGTCATCTGACGATGATCACGCAGAACGGGACGATGGCGTGCCCCAATATAGCGTATTAGGGTCTCCGCCATAACACGGGGCACATCACGCAACTAAAGGCTAAAGACCATGGGTTAGATCAGCTAATCCAGCTCCATAAGAGCATTTGAACAGTTTCCTAACGGTCGTGGTATCCATATTGCAATGCAAATGCCGCACGACGTTTAGTTTTGAATTCACATTTTGTTTTCAGCATGATTCGTAAATTATCATATCAAATAGTTCAATATTTTTATGTCCTCTAAGACCATGTGTCTCTGCCACTTTGCCTCTGCCTCTCCTCTCCCCACTCTACCTTGAGTCTCCATCTCCTCTATTATCAAGCTTGTTTACAAGACGTCGTCAGCCACAAACAAATAATATTACAACGATGAAGATACGATAGGCAATGATGAAGATACATTATGCCAACCATGTAGAGAGGATGATGAAAACATGAACACATTTACAAAAATGTAACAGCCTCATGGATGTATCCAGTAATATTGATTCCCTGCAGCGATCTCACATAGAAGACACTACAGAAAATGAGAGAGTTTCTTTTCAATGACGAACGGAAGAGGATGCGGAGAAGAGAAAGGAGAAGCTGCACTGCTTATGAAAAAATCCGGAAGAAGCGTCTGCAATGACCATGGGCACAAGCATAATAAAAACATGCAGTTATCCTTTTTTTCTAGCATCTTTTTAACCAAATGGGGCACACATTGGGAGCCGACGCAAAGGTCATTGCCCCGAACTACAGAAGATTCATCTGCTTCTCTGAATCTGCATTTGCATTACACCTTGACCCTTTTCCTCCCCCACTCTAGCTCCCTGCTCCTCCACACTCTATCTCGACCCTCCACCCACTCTCCCTCGCTGCTCCCCTCCCCCACTCTACCTTGAGTCTACCGTCCTCCACCGGCGGCTGAGCGTACGGCACCCCGAGGAACACGGTCACGTTGCCTCTCGCCCTGTGGACGCCAGACGGCAGGCTGGCCGGCCACTCGTCTGGTAACAGACCGGGCTGGTCGTACAGCGACACGCGGAACCCGGTCAGCTCCCCCAGCTGGGTGCGGATGGTGACCAGAGGCAGCTCCGGCCCCACGCCCGGCCGACGCTCGCCCTGCAGGTCCGACCGCCAGCCGGCGCGGATGCCCACGTCGGCGTCGACGCATCTGTTCGGGTCGAAGCGGTCGTAGCCGACGTTGGTGGAGGCGTCGCTGGCGCGCGGCGGGCACTGGCGGCGCCCGCCGTTGCGGAATACGCTGGGCGGAGGCGTGGCGGGCGTCGGCGGCGGCGGGGTGGCCGCCCGCCACTGCCCGAAGCGATTCACAGAACCGTCTGCATTGTCTGGAAGTCCAGCGGCGACCGGGGATAACACACAGAGCACTGGCACAATCAGTATGTGAGGATGACGCAGATGAGGTAGAAATGGCGTGGCACGCGCCATTTTCCACACACGGTCACCGCGCGCGCACGGTCGCGGCGGCGCGTGAGCGCTTTCCAGCCGGTTCCACACGCGAGGTCACGCTAGACTGTCGTATACGGGCCCGCTACGCGACGCAGCAGGTTCCCCACCTGTCCGCTGGGCGGCGCTGGCGGCACGACGGGTGCCCGCGTGACCTTGGGTATGGGAGCAGGTGTAATTCGCAGGAAGCCCGCATTATTTTACATGGCTGATGCTTGATGCGAGGAGGAGGGAGGGGAAGGGAGCTGAAGAAAGCTGCACGACTCTCATGCGGGTATCAGAAGCTGCCGCTGTAAATTAATATTGGCTGAAATAGATAGCTGCATTTAAGATTCGCGACATGTAGGTTTGCTGTGGGTTTGCTGTCTATATACCTTGCTCTAGCAACCAAATAAATTGCCGGCGTCCGGTGGTCGTTAGACGTGCCCGCGTGTAGCTGTTATACGTCCCGAGGCGCTTATTACGTGGTTGGCAGCGTTTGAATTTGAAAAAGCGATACATATCTTGCGCACTGAAGCAGGAATGCTAGGAGGATACTTAATGTTAATTAAATGTGCTTGCAAATGAAGGCATTCAGTAGAGATTATGCTGGCATTTATGGCGCAATTGTTGGGCACACGGCAGACACGGACGTATAAATAAACGGCACAGATCAGCGGAAAGGTAAGGCTGAAACTTCCGTCAGTTAGGTATCTACATCATACATGTGTAGTCTCCGTCCCTCCCAAGTCCCAACACACCATTCCCACATTTGCAACCGGCTCCGGTAGTATTCCATGTGAGCTCTTTTGAAGGTCTAATGCACCCGCTGGTAGATACCGCCTACCAGCGCCGTCCTGGATGCAAAGCGCCGTCCCTGGCGGCTGTCCTGTCAACTTTCGGAACAGTCAAAATCCCATAGCGTCAGATCTCGCGAGTGCAGAGATCGTCAGATCATTTCGATGTTTCGATCAGGTTTCGATCACCTGGAAATTGGTGATGGCATGCGCCTTATTGAGAGGCTCGTCTTCTTGCTGGAGGAGGAGGCCGTCATCGGCCGGTCTCGGTCGCTTCTGCTGCAGAGAGGTGGAAGCAGCCTAGGCCCTATATGAAGCAGCTTCTTCCGTATCAGGTCCTGGGCCTCGTTTCATTAAGTGAGTCCGTAAATTATGCCGGTTTTTGGGCTTGTATTGCAAACGCATGTAAAGCGATAAATTTATTTCCCCTTCTCCCTTCTGTTCTTGCTTGCAAGATAAATAAATTCAACGATTCAAACTATCGTCATCGCTTCACATGCACTTGCAATAAAAGACCAAAAACCGGCGTAAGTTACGGACTCGCTTTATGAAACGGGGCCCTGGTCGCGGTCTTCAATCATTGCGGATCCTTCATTTCTGCTCTGGCCAGAACAATGTTTTACTGATCCCATGATGATCCCGTCAACAAGCCATGCCGACGTGCTTCCAGTGCATCGACTGCGTCTTCAATTCGCAATTCTGTTTAACCGGACTTCATCGACTCAAAACTCGACTGTGTTCAACGGCAGGGCCGCCAAACACTGGTATGAACCCTCGTCGGCCGAGGGGACGAGTGCCGCCCTGTCATGTCTTCGCGATTGCTCGAAACGCGCTGGCGATAGGAAGCTGAAAGCTAGCACCCCTGAACTTTTATTCAAGCCGGATCTTGTGACATAAGCCGCATTTTTAGGTCAGGTCGGGTCACTGACCTATGGCATTACAAGTAAGCCTTTGCATGTTGCTGTTTCTAAAATATCGGAACTTTGCAATGCCCTCAGTACCAGAAGAGCTTTTAGGTATAGAAAGGTGAAAATTAGGGCAAGTCGTTCTCGTGATTTCACCATTCGGTCAATGGGAGTAAGATGAAAACTCATTTAGCAATACCAGAAATGGTCTACGAGAACAGAAAATCATAATTCTATGGATTCTTTGCAAGGTCCAGTACTTAACCTGCGCATTGCTGACCTAACGTGACGTCACTTATGACGTCACCAAGGCATTCAAAGTTTCTCGTCTATAACTCCCTTTCAAATGAAACTAGCGAGAAGGGAAAGCCACCAATGGACTCGGACAGTGGGCACCCTTTGTTGACCTCATCCTCAAAACAAAAACTATATAAAACGACGCGCCTGGACATGACGAACACTCAATTTAGAATTGGGTACCAGTTGCTGCGTCTCGTGACGACACACACGCTCTTTTCTTCGCGAGGCTCTAGCTCAGGTAAGGGCGAACTGCGTGAGGGGGCGAATTTCCCGATTAGCCCCTTAGTACGCAGAAATCCGATAGTTCTGATAAGTGTAAAAATGTTTTTTGGAGATCTCTAATGCGCACTTTCCGTCTCTTAACCCTCGCCCGCACATGCCATTTTCCCATCCTAGAACGCACATGGGGGGGGGATGGTGGTTGCCACCCCCCCGCGCCGTTTCGTTCCTGTTGGAGATAGAGCTTAGCGGTAAGGACCAAAAAGATTTTTTGGGAAGAGACGAATCCAATGATACCCGATTTTACCTTCTCAGGTCAGTCATTGACCTTCCAGGTCAGGTCAAACTAAAAAATGTTGCTGTTTTGGGTCACCGTTGGATATCAAGTGCGCTGCTTATCATATACCGATGACGATGCCGTTTTCTGGTGCCAAGCCAGCTAGAACCTCTTTGTCACACTACCCGACCAGATTTTTGCTGCTGAGGTCATTTCAGGTCAAGTTAGGTCAAGGTCAGTTATATGTGTTTGTATGTCTGTGTGTGTCTGTGTGTATACTGATGTGTGCACCGATTGTTTTTGTGTCCATATTACATGAAATCATGATCTGAGAAGCTTTTACCAAAAGTTCAGGCAAAAAAACTTCACAAAAAGTAAATTCAGCTTGCCTAAAACGCAATTATCTTAGATGACCTAGGTTGACCTTGACCCTGACCTTGACCCCTGTACATCGTCGAACAACATGTTCCATGATAGGTGGGAGGTAAGACTGGCAAAAAAGGCCGAAATCAAGGTGTCAAAAGCTCACAAGGCCCATGGCAAACGCAAGATGTTGAGAATTGGCCATTTGGGTCATGACATGACCTGACAAACAAGGTCATATCTCCGAAACCAAAAATCACAGAAACTTGAAATTTTCAGTGGACATCAAAAAAGGATAGAGGAGCAGCTATACCAAAAATCAGCTCTCTAGCTCTAAAAATGTTGAGTGCAGAGCAGAAAGACTACCTGGGGGGGGGGGGGGTGGCAACCCCCCCCCCCATGTGCGGGCGAGGGTTAACATTCGTGACCAAAGTAACATTACATTTACCGTCCCGAATACACGTGACAGTTTCTAACTTTCTGTATTTATGAGAAGAATGTATTCGATTAGTTCTTCGTCGCTGAACATCCCATTTATACATTTTTCCTTCCCAGTTCCCGGTAGTCTTTTATAAGACAGAGACTAGAGAGTGTCAACTGGCCGCTGGTGTTAAACATGTAAGGAATCGTTGTATATGTTGTTATTCAGCTGGGACATAATTAATGTGTAAAAACGTTGTTTTGACACCAGCTATGTAGTTTTATTGGGAGCTTTCGAGAGCACTTCGGCTCCCTTCTTCAGCCAAGTCAAACAAACACTAAAATACAGTAATACAAAACATTAATATGTCGTTCGGTTCGAGGTCAAAATCGTAAGTATAGGTCAAGAAATGAGTGCGCCACATTTTTAGTACAATTGTCACATAGTTTCATTAATTTTTTGAAAATACACACATCACATAATCGACCAGCAACCTCTTTACAAAGAAACACCTAAAATCACACATTCACACACCGCTAAGACTTAAATCACACAATACACATCATTCATTGGCACCCCTGGTCTCGTGTTCATAAGAGTCGATTCGTTCGTTTTCGCTATAAATATGCCCTCTTTTATCTTTCGTTTTCTCCAGTTCGTTTCATATGCCAGAATTTTGACCTCCTCCCATTTAATACTGTGCCCCGTCTCCAAAACATGTTTCGAGATACCCGAGTGGTTGTCATCCCCATTCCTGATCGCCCTCTTGTGTTCGCTTTCTCTCGTCTTTATGCTTCTCCCTGTCTCACCTATGTAAACTTTTTCACACATGCACTCATATTGGTAGACTACGCCCGCATTAGATATTTTTTCTCGTTTGTCCTTTGGCTTTACTAACATACTCCGTAGGTTCCTCCCCGGTTTGTTTGCGACCTTTGCATATGGTGCCAAAGCCCTTGTCACCCTTTCAGTGACCCCTTGCACGTAGGGGAGAACCACCACTGACTTACGCTCCTCCCCTTGGTCCTCTTGTGTCCTAGCCCTCCCCGCTAGCATCTTTCTGCGAGTCCTGTTCACGAACCGTTTCGGGTAATTGTTTGCTCCCAACGTCCGGTCAATGTGGCTGGTCTCCCAAAATGTGGCGCACTCATTTCTTGACCTATACTTACGATTTTGACCTCGAGCCGAACGACATATTAATGTTTTGTATTACTGTATTTTAGTGTTTGTTTGACTTGGCTGAAGAAGGGAGCCGAAGTGCTCTCGAAAGCTCCCAATAAAACTACATAGCTGGTGTCAAAACAACGTTTTACACATGTAAGGAATCGCTTTCATACCTGTCTCTTATAGGCATCTTATAGGTATGTGTGAAAAGCGCTTTACGGACTGTATGTAAGGCTGGAGGGTGTCGTGACGCGCATAAGTCATTCAGATTCATTCTGCTGTCAATAAAATGCATACAATCACTTCAAGAGTCCACTCAGAACAAGGCACGTGCGAGCGTTCTCGCAAAGACAGTCGCACGTCTAATAAAAAAGAGCGACGCATGAGGAGGGAGCCTCTCGACGACACGGTAATGCACTGTACGGCACGGCACGGAACGGCACGGCACGGAACGGCACGGCACGGAACTGCACGGAACGGCACGGTAGAGCACAACACCCAGACTCTTGTGTGGTGGGTGCGTCGGAAGGGTCCGCGGCCGCCGGCACAGAATACCAATGGGGTCTGCTCGCCGGCAGCTCTCTATTGCTGCCGAGGATGAGCAGGCCACGAAAATAGCAGCATACTGAAAATTAGGTTAGCTGTAGGCATTTTACTCTCCAGAGAAGCGAGGAAACCACGAATGTTGAAACCGAACCGAGTTGAAATATTCGGATGACGAATTTTATATTCTGCCTTGAAAGCTGGTTTATTCAAAATATCGATTTTTGTTCAGTTAGGCTCTATCAGTCCAGCGAAACCATTTCAGAAACCGTAGGAGGATAGGAATTAGGGGGAGACATTGTTCTGGGCGGGCACCCTTGTGAGTCGTCGGGACTGAGGTCATCCAGTGGACCGGACACCCAACCCCTTGACACTCACCGCACCCGGTACAGGCGTGCTCCTGGAGGGGAGGTTCCTGAATGGGATAAAGTCGCCCGTCTAGCCCCGAACAGGGAGTTGAAGCGTGGGGAAGGAGGATTTGACTATCCTGAGGATGGAAACTAACGGAGTGGTGTGTCGACTTTGCTAAAATTGATTCTATCTATAGCTACCAATACAAATTCATTAGCCTTTAGTTAAAGCATGGTTTCTGTGACTTCATTACACCACTACACCAGCATACGAGCCTATATTCACCAGCGTGACATACTTGCTCGTTCAAATGTCGCTCGGTCCGACCCTTATCAATATAGCATTCCTCTCTGTCTATACGGTATCTCCTGTCTGTCTATACGGTATCTCCTGTCATATGTATTCATAACTCTCCTATCTCCTAACGCATATCCACGTATTGACCTAACTACAATTGCCAATATCGGACCAATTTTTACCAGCAATCAGCATTTCATCGTCCGCTCACATTGACAAAGGCGCAGCCGCAGTCACATGGCCTAACAGCGGTCGTCCGCTTAGCACCTCTGTCCACCTTTATAGCACGTATGTCGGTCAGCGTAGGCATCTATGTTCGCTAGCACCAGCCAGCTGCTACCCTACGCTATTGCTTTACACCCCGCTATTGCCCCACGTCTACATAATCCCTGACCTTGCTTGCATACATCCCTTTGGCCGTTCATTCAGCGCCTATCACTATTTTGTATCCCCCGTACATACCCCTCTTGAAATTCGTTTGGACGCACTTATGTGTGTACAATGTACATAAGTGTGTATGTGTGTGTGTGAGTGAGTGTGTGAGTGCTCAGCGGCGCCAGTCTCACCTAGCCGCGCTGCGGCGCCGTGAGCTGCAGCAGAATCTCGGCGGCCGGCCGGGGTCTATCGATCGTCGGTGTCGACGTTCCGGAGCCGCCGACGCCGACGGTCGGCTCGGGAGCGGCGCTGGAGGCCTGTCCGACCGAGCCCAGTGGCGCTGGGCGGGCCGGCTGTGACCACACTGTGCCGCAACACGTAGACAGAGACAGAGACCGAGAGACGGAGGGACGGAGACGGAGAGACGGAGAGCGGGAGAAAAGGGGCGTGTAGTGAGTGTGTAACGTGTAAACCTGGAACTGGTAGAGGCAAACCGGGAAACATAAATCGAGAAGAAAATGGTGTGAAAGGCAGAAAGCTGATTGCGTGGGTATAAGAGCAATAAAAAAGAGAATAACACGCGCCAACAAGAAATAATAGACAGCAAACGTGCGCTGAGTGGGAAACGAAGCGAAGAACCAAAAGTCGAATGAGTGGAAAGAGGCGTTTGACGTTGATCGCGCGCAGACAGGAGTAAAAGGTGGCGAAGAGAGGCGGCGCCCAGGCATGAAAAAGGTGGAGCGGCACACTGCGTGGTGCCAGGAGGCCTGATGTCACAGCAGGTCAGTGTGCCCGTACCCAGTGACGTAATGGTGCACCCCAGTGACGTAGCGGTGCACTGCAGGTCGCTGTTAGTGTCACTGCGCCATGTCACGACCTCTGTGAGGGACTCAGATCTTCGAATGTCATCTAATAAAGCCAAAAACATAGAGCCACAGTCTAAAACACAGTTTTGGTTAAGGTCATTTGAAGGTCATATTCAGAGTCATAAGGCCTCGCCCCATCGAATAAAAGTCAAGCAGCAAGATGAGGAAACTCGCCGGTCGGTAATGGTGGCGATCGAGGGCTACTACTAGGTCCATAGTAAAAATTTATCTTCGACAACAAGCCGAAGAAATTGACTTGTGAATGCTTTGCTTAATGTTTTGCTCACATGCTTCATGAAACAGCAGAAACCGCCGCCTTCAGCTCTCCAGCACTGAAATCTTGCTGAGTCGCCATTCGCCGGCTGTCGTTATTCCGTGTCCTTCGCCAAGATAAGGAGAGGGGCGACTTATTAACGATTTACGTACATAGAGTGGGCTGTAGCGGCACGAATCCTTTCCGCCTGTGATCTCTACTTGGTCTTTTTTTTTAAGAAATATACTTCGAATGGTTGAATGACGGGCTTCGGGCCTGGGTGTCACGCAAAACGGTGTTTGTTGCGAATGACACTACGGACCCACCAACCTACCTTACCCTAGCCCGGTTCACCGGTGATTTCAATCGAATCGCAGGCATATAGCGACATACGAGGTGTGGCTAAAAAGAAACCGGACTGCTCGTGCTGGTCATAAAGTAGGGGGCCCGAAGACTCAAGCGAGACATTTTACATTAATCTTTATCATATTGTGGTGATGTGTGCCAAACGGCAATTCGTTATCGCTATTATTCTCCTTTCCACAGCTCTTTGTTTGATTGATGTTTGACGGCCTTGTCACCGCCAGGCTTCTACAATGAGCGTCGAAGAAAAGAAGGAACATCACGTTCCTTGCCAGACTGGAGAAAAGTCCAACAGAGACGCTGAATCTGTTCAAGGCTGTTTATGGGGAGCAAGTCATGTATCACATGCAAGTGTTTGAATGGCATGCGAGGTTCAGCGCTGGTCGTGAGGATATCGGTGATGACCCCAAGGTCCGGAGGTCCATCAACGTCCGCGCGCATGTCGAAGTCGAGGATGGAGACGACATTGATCGTCTTTTTCGATCACAGGGGATTCTTTCACCGCCAGCTCGTGCCGGAGGTGTACCACAGTCGACCAGCACTTCTACAAGGAAGACCTCGGACGCCTCATCTCACGAGTCGGACGCACCAAGTGGAATTTCTGGGAAGCCAAGAACTGGGTGCTGCATCACGACAACGCGCCCGCGCATTCTGCCATTAGCGTCAAGCAGTTCTTTGCCGTAAAGCAGGTCGCGGTGCTCAAGCACCCTCTTTACTCGCCAGACCTCTCTCCCTGTGACTTTTGGCTGGTTCCCTAAAATGAAAAACTTCGTCAAGCAAACCCATTTTGAATCGGTCGAAGACACCCAGACCAGAGTGACCAGCGTCAGCGTCATCAAAATAAAGAGCTGTGGAAAGGAGAATAATAGCGATATCGAGATGCCGTTTGGCACAAATCACGACAATATGGTAAAGATTAACCCGCGCGGGGCTGGGGTCTCCAGCCGAACGCGCGGGGCTGGGGGGGTAAATTTTACCCCCCCTGTTATCTCCCGAACTAACGGTCCGATTTGGAAAATTCAAACGCCAATCGAAAGCTCTCATCACGAACTACTAAAAACATGTACTTAATTTAAAGTTTGAGGTCAAGGTCAAGGTCAGGTCAAGGGTACAAATTGCAAGTTTCTACAGTATCGGCCTTGCACCGTAGTTGCCGAAGAATGGAGTCGTGGACTGAGACTGATCGCCCAAAACGTGTTCTTAGGCTACCAAGACAATATTCGTTGCATACAATATCATTCAGAGGTCAAGGTCAAGGTCAGGTCAGGTCAGGTCAGGTCACCAAAAAACAAAATATAGAAAAGGGCATGTGCGACACATGTTTTATGGGTCACTTTACTCATAGAATTCAATAGGCACACTCAATAAGTGATATGGACCACCTCTGGATGAATTTCAGGTCGAGGTCAGGTCAAGGTCAGGTCAACTGAGGTCAAATTTTGAAGTTGGTTGTTAAGGCCTAAAAAGGTGTCTATCTGATGCAATTTTTCACGGCGAATCGAATGGTGCTATTTTTGTTTCCGTACGAGGTCTAGAACTTCCAAAAAAGTCATTTTTCAAAAATTTTGTGTGTCGTGACGTCATAAAATTTTGAATAACTCCCACATTTTTGAACCGATTCTTCTAAAATTTGGTATGTAGGTGCACATAGACCACTTCTCTGACATATATTCCGGTTTTTTTCGATAGACTCAAAATTTTGGATTTTATAATGATTTTCCCAAAAAAGTCAGTTTTTTGAAAAAATTTAGGCCAAAATCCAAAATTTTCAAAAAACCGAGATAGCCATTTGATAGACAAAGTAAAATTACGTATAACCTTTTTTGTTACGTCTTGATTCCTTTAAAAATGAAGATGTTAGCGGCGTTTGAACTTTTGCCGTTTTTGAGGCGAAAATGACGAACATGACGTCACTAAAACGTCAATTTCTCAAAAATTTACCGACGGATTTCGCTCAAATTTTCAGGGAACGTGTCAAATTGATGTAAGAAAAGGTACTTAAAGTTTGGCGGCGCTGCGCGCCGCCGTTTTTGAGATATCGCAAAAATTCGCGAGGGGGGGGTAAAATTTACCCCCCCCCCAGCCCCGCGCGGGTTAATGTCGTGTCTCGCTAGTTGTCGGGCCCCCTACTTTATGGCCAGCACGAGCAGTCCGGTTTCTTTTTAGCCACACCTCGTAGTCCTCCAGGGTCTAGCCTGGCCCTCTTTCACCAATTGCCGGCTGGCTGAATACACAGGGTGTCCCGGAAAAAGTAAACGCACTTTAAGTGACCATCCCACCTTAACATTAGTTTTGAGAATTGAGATAACCAGATTGGTGGCCATGGCCTGCAAATACCGGTTTGGGCACTCACAACATCGAAAAATGCTTTAATTCGGAGATATGGAATTTCAAACTTGCAGTTTTCCGATTCTAAGTGCTAATGCATTGGAATGCCCCCTTATAATTTGTAACGTCAGTGGAGATCTAACGATTTTTAACCCGGCAGGTGGTGGGCCTCCCGGCCACCTTCCGCGCGGTGGGGGGGGGGGCATTTTTTGCCCCCCCCCCCGTATCTCCGAAACTACTGGACGGATCCGGAAAATTCAAACGGCGTTCGATAGCCCTGTCAAATTTGTTGAAGGAAACAAAATTTTATTGACCTCGGGGTCACTGATGACGTCATAGGTCAGGTCAAAGATAAAATGTTTCACCGTTCACCGGGCTTCTAGGGAAAGCGCTATAACACCGAGTAAAACGCATTTTGTCGAAAATCAGCGACAGGGCGTCAGTTGTCTAGTACATATGTTGCTTTTAGAGGTCACTGGTCATACCAGGTCAGGTCACAGGTCAGGTCACCAAAGATCACCAAGGGTCACCACATGAACCCAGCTTTACTAAGGCTGTGCGATGCATGTTTTATGGCCAGTTTTTCATTTCCAACTGAACGGTGTTGGTTATAAGCCCATCAGGTACGGTTTAGGTCACTTTCTGGTGGAGGTCAGGTCAAGGTCAGGTCCAAAAAGGTCAAATTTCAAAGTTGATATTTTTGCATAAAATGGGTACCGATTCGATGCAGCTCGTCACGGAAAGTCTAATGGTGGTCTTTGTTTTGCGCTACGAAGTCTAGAATTGCTAAAAATTGAGTTTGAAAATTTGACGGCATCAATTTTGAACAGTTTTTTCGCTATAACTTGGCCAAAAAAGAGGTATCGATATCAAATTTGGTATGTGGATAGAAAGCGGTAAGGGCTATCTCATATATTCCGTTTTTTTTCGAAATTCATTTTTTTTTTGTCTATTATATTCAAAAAATCTATTTTTTGATTTTTAGGGGTCAAAATCGAGAAAATTCGAAAACCGAAATAGTAGTTTTGTAGCCCTTTTGATCCCACATCTTTAGTGTTGGAAACATTTTTCTGTATTTCTAAAGCTGTAGGCCTGACAGCTCTTCCCGCGAAACCTTTTTTTTGGGTCGAAAATGGCAGAAATGACGTCACTCTGACGTCATTAGCGGCCAACCTATCATAGCCTTTGGAAAAATGTTTGGTCACCATGTGCGCTAGCTACTCCCAGGAGGGTACTGAAAGTTTGGTGACGATCGGCGCAGCGGTTCTCGAGATATATCGAAAAAACAAAAGGGGGGGGGCAAAAAAATGCCCACCACCACCTGGAAGTTTAATCCTCGCCGGCCGAGGGGGGGGGGTGCCGCCCCCATAGGTTTTTTCCCGATAGCTCCAAACACGCTGGTGATAGAGAGCTAAAACTTGGCATACCTGACCTTTGATTCAAGCCGGATCTTTTGACACCAACCGCATTTTCATGTCAGGTCAGGTCACTGACCTATGACGTCATAAGTGAGCCTCTGCACGGCCTTCAGATGTCGCAACTTCGCAACGCCCTCAGTGGCGGTCGCAGGGGGGGGCATCAGGGCCATGCCCCCCCCAAGGCAAATCAGGGGGGGCATCATATCATTTGCCCCCCCCAAACAACCGATGGGCCCCCATAGGCGTATGGGGCCCTGGCCCGTATTCGATTGTCACGAGGCTCGAGCAACCCACGCCAGCTATTAAAGGAAATAGTTCACTTTTTAACATGGGTTTTGAACTGGAATAGCAGTTCCGTAGCTTGGGCTGAGACGAGCATAAATCAGGAGATTTTACAGCCCAACGATCACCCTAGGCAAAGATATTCTATTTCTTGTCCCGAAAAAGGTGTCTTGCGTTGAGGATGTGTGCCTTGCATATATTTCCATCCAGTATGAAAAGAGCATGGGCCCCGAAAATTATTCAGAAACTAGAGAAATTATCTACGAGAACTC